CAACATCTTAATGGAGTCTAGTACAGAAATCGTAATGGTGTAGAAGTCTTACATTTTCCTCTTTGGATAGGGATTTTCTATTTAATATCCCTTCAGCTTATTCACTGATTGATAAAACTGTGTTAATCCCATTTTATAAATCCTGTTAGGAGATAGTTTTTGTAGTCTCTTAAGTCTGGCTGACAGTATCTGGGTTGACAGTTCAGAGAAGGTGAGCTGCTGAGCTTACAGATATTTTTTGCTCATTGTGCAGTGGCATAAGGAAAGGAGGTCATTTTTTTTTCTTGCCCTTTGCTAACAGTTAACTGTCACAAGCAAATAAAAGCTTTTCTTCTCATCCATTTTCATCTTCCAATTTTCTGCATTTGTCATGGGAGTACAAAGAGCCCCTGGTAAGTTTATCCTTCATCAATATTGCTTTGCTATCAGCACTATTATTGAGAAAGGCATGCTAAATTAAGCAATAGTAAGACTCTTTACTGCCATTGAATTTTCTTCATGTTGAATTATATAGCTGATTTAAATCAGCGCAGCTCTGCTGGCTTCAGTTGTGCTCATTTATGCCAACTAAAGAGCTATGCGACAAGTTGTTCTTTGTAGCAGCTTCCTTCTCATGTGCCCAGCTCCTCTGTTAGAGCAATCTCTAGGGTGGTATGAACCCAGATGCACTTAAGTAAAAAGATTTGCTTCTAGAGAATTAATTTAAGAGTTACTCCAGTAGATATAACCCCCTGCACTCAGAAGTTACTTTACGTCGTGGTGATTTATACCACAGGAACAGACTGTGAGCACGGATGAGCTCTAGAATATGTTGGTGGTGTTGTGGGCACCTCACTACACTTCTGCATGCCCTGTTGTGACCACCTGTGACCTGTTTGCTGCTCAAGGGTCACGCCTGCCACATGTCACCATTCAAGCACTGAAGAGCTGCTGGATTCTGCCTCCTGTATCTGCAAACTCTTGGTGTTAACAAACCTGGCAAGTAAATGAGGTGTCATTTTCCAGCAAGCCATGTTCTGGATCCGGTTCTTATACTTACAGATGAGCCCGTTGTAAGAGCTTACAATCTCTTCTTGCCCGCTGAGAAGAGATAAAGAGGAATTCTACACATCTAAAAACCACCAATCCAGCACCATACATGAATGACTTTAACCAAGTCTTTCTCTGAGCTTATGCACAGCACTGCAAGAGACTGTGGAGATAAAACCCGTGACTCTTAGTCAGGGGACAGCCTAGGCAGTCAGGAGTGCCTTGCTTCAGAAGTGTTACCTATCTGCAGATAGGTGGCCATTGTCCTGAGAGCCCTTGGGCATGACTACACTGCAGAGCAGGCTAAGCATCACTGTGCGGACTCTTAACTTAAGTTTTTGGTGTTGCCTGGAGAGGTGTGCAGCCAGTATTTCTTTTTATTGCACATTGTCGCATTAAGCAGGAACTTCCCATTCTGAGTCTTGAGTTGGCTGTGCAGGCTCCAAACAGTAGCATCCATCACTGAAAATGCTGTCTGTCCCCCTTCTTACTCCCTGAAGAGACTGCATCCCCATCAGCCAATACTTTAAATTGAGGGCAGTATACTTTGCAAGTGATTGTTCCTCCTGCCCCCAAACTCTTGGTCATCCACCATGACGTGCTCAGCCCTGATCAGAACAAGTTCAACAAAGCAGAAAGAAAAAAATGGAAATGAAATAAAAACACCATGTGAAGTTTTTACTAAGAAATGAGCACTGTATAGTGCTAGCACAAGGACTGCAGTGTGTTTTGATCCTGTAGGGAATTAATTCAGAAAATTAGTTTGCCGTCACTTATTTTTATAAATCTGAGCAAACTTATTTTTCACTGACAACCTCATCTGAATATTATATTTTCAATGAAATCTTAACAAGGCTTTCTTTATGTCAACAGAAATCTCAGGAAGGTTTGATTTTTTTTTATTATTATTTTAATAGGGAAATCTTTATCAGTTTATTCATAAAACCACTATTAGCAATACCACAAAAACGTGTGAAGTGTAAAACAGACAACACATTGCAGAGCACAGGTTACAAGAAGCATGCCTCCCTGTCGTCTTGAATGCCTGATTTTTATTGCAAAATAAAAAGGATGGCATGTTCACACATGGTTAAGCATGTTTACATGAAGGTCTTTAAATAGAGAAAAGAATGTTGAAAGGCTGGTGCTTTCTAAGGCCTGTCTTTTCCTTGGTCAGATATTTACACTCCTGCAGCTCACAAAACAGAGTTCCCATTCCAATCAGTAACTTGCATCCCACTTGATTCTGATAGTTTTCATAAGCAGTTCCTGCATTTGCTATTGCAGGAGGTCTGCCGCCACATCATTTCTCACCTCCTTTTTCTCCTGTTTGTTCTGATTGTGCTGCTAATTAGACACTTGTTTCTTGACCTCTGGCTTCTTGACAGCCTCATGCAGCCCCTGTGATGTTAAATGAAAGAAGGCACAGCAGCAATCCAGCAATCAAACCTCTGAAATCAGCCTCTGCGATCTAGGTGGGCTTCGTTAATATTTTTGTTGTGCTGCAACACAGGAAGGAAAGACAAAGAGTGGAGTTATCACATCTACTGTTTGCTAAGATCACAACAATGCACTGGAGACCGTACACGGAAATTAGGTGTGGAAAAAAAAACCTATCTTTGCAGCCACAATAACAAAGCAAGAGCTGCTAACATTTATTTATTTATAGGATAGTACCTAGAACTGAGATGTTCAAAAATGTTAACAGCTGCCCAAACTATGGCAAACCCAAAAGTTAAGAGGGAAAAAAATAAAAACTAAAAGATGGCTTTTCTGAGGAGTTAGTGGAGTTTGTAGAGTTCAAAGATAGTTTGGGGATGGAAGTCACTGTGGAAGCAAAAGAAATGAAATGAAAAGAGCAGGAGAACAAGAAAAATAATTGCGATAGCCTGGATGAGAAGGACTGGGGAAGGGGTTGTTTCACTGTTTTGATCATCAGAGAAACAAACAATGAGGGAGCAGGCCCAGTCAACCCAAAATAAGGAATGTAGCAGCAGTCCATGAAAATCAAGATTAGACACCAGTCCTAGAGGTCAGGTACTTTCAGAGCTGTTCATTGCCAGCTCCGAAGGTTATTTTATTCCTACGGCTTAAGTTTTGCTATTAACAAGTTCTTGCATATCTAAGAGTCCAGAAACTACCCACAACCTATATATACAAACAGCTCTAGATATCTACACTGTGTCTACCAAAATGGCTTTCTCTGCCATGTGACTTCATCCCTTTAGAACAGTGGTCATCCTTGAGGCAGGAGAGCATTACAGCCTGAAAAAGGTATTTTATGGGATCCATAAAATACTTTGATTCTTGATGGGGAACACAGGTGTTTCTGGCTGGTTTTCACTAGACCCCTACCGGGCATCTTAGGGAAGAATTGCATAGTGTGTAGGTCTCTGAGCTGCAGAGGAGACTGGGGATACATGTGTAGGGCACACTTGGAGGAAATCCCTCACTTCAGTGTGGAAGCAGTGACACAGTGAAGTAAAAACTTTGTTTAAATTCATCTACTTTATGGCAGATACTGAGAAGTAAATACATGGAAGACTTGCTCTTTTATGTAAATCATTCGTGTAGATAGACAAAACCTCTGCCTTTTGTTTGAAATGGTCCAATGTGAACCATTCTTGACAAAACTGTTAGCTGAGTCTTTTAATCATCATTTTCTTCTGGAAGAGGAGGAGTTTTTTGGAAGCCTTCTTTTCAGATTGACGTCTTCTTACATTTAGTGTGTTGTTTCTACAGAAGCGCTGCACACTGGGTGGATGGAGTCTGTCCTGAACATTCATCTGATGCTTCCTCTTGAGAAACATCACAGTGTGGTGGATTAAAAGCTTCATATAACTCAGTTTCTGCAGAAACTCTTAGTGGACCTAAACTTGGCAACTTATTCTCTTTGAATCTCAACTGCTGATAGAAATATAGTGGCTTTAATTTTTTCTTAATACTGAGGTGAAGTATTCCATGAGCAACAGCTACTGTATCTTAAAGATGGTAATAGCAAGCATTCAAACAGTACTTTCATCTTCAATGTACTTTGTAGGTGTTCTTTACTTCTGAATTATGTCAAGTTTCTGTCCCTATCGATGCTTTTTCAAGTGAGGTATATATGATTGATGTGCCATGGCAAAGAGGCAAAGCCAGTCCCTCCAAATTCTGCACTGAATGACCATGCCTGAGGGATGAGAAGGTGGTGTCCTGTCACTGGCAGCACTGACAGAACTCCCATTGAGCCTGGTGAGAGCAGGAGCAGGCCCAACAGTGTTGACTTCTGATGTCATCGCAGCGGTTGTCTTTGTTTTCCCCAAGATCCCTTTGTGCTTTTCTGCTTTGCTTTGTATTCTGAATATTCAGATTGTTTCTGCTCTCAGGGCCCCCGTTTGGAATTAGATTGCATTTGTTGTGGATCTGTCCTACAGGTTGACGTGCCGATGATCTTCACTGTAAGGTTTCATACAAGCCACCAGAGGAGGAGGGGAGTGGAGCTGTGGAGGAGGAGTGCCACTATTGTTCGGCCCTCAGCACTGCCAAACTGTCCCTTGTTTTTTTCTGCAGGCTGCCTGCGTGTTCAGATGCTGTTTGGACAAGCCTGGAGGCTCACAAGAGGGCAGGGAGAGGGTTAGCAGGGTCTCAGCTAGAAATGCTTGTGCGAGGCAGGAAGCAGGCATGGGAGGAAGGAAATTAAGTGAAGACATCTGTGTAGCTTAAACTCCCAGCAGCTCTGCCTGGGGTAGGGGTGGGAGTGCTGTGCCTAAGATGACATAACGTAGTTCGTCTTTCATGGGCTGAACACAGAGGAAACTGCGAAAGTGAAGCATGGTCTGTGTCACGCATGGGCCAGGCATACCAAGTGCATAATGGAGCAGTGTTGGCACTTTCTGCTCTGCCTTTCACACCTCAAAATAACTCTCAAAGACAGTGAGCTGAGGAGGATGTGATATGGTCCAGAAACTGATCTTGGACTTTTTTCGCAGACGACTGAGCCAGAGGCCGACAGCTGAAGAATTGGAGCAGAGGAACATTCTGAAACGTAAGTCCTGATACTGCTGACATTTAATCTGAAGCTGGCTAGTTTGTATTAGTTTAGATGTATATGGTGTGGGTTCTTTTTATAAAACATCAGCTATTCCATACGTGCATCACGATTAAAAACAAAATGCATCATAAATGCAAGTAAGTGTGCAAGTCTGCAGCAACATTCAGAGCTGCAGAAATAATTCATTAAAATCCTAGTCAGTAAATTCACATGAATGAATAGCCCTTGGGAAAGAAAAAAACAACAACACTGAGTCTTTTTTGCAAGTCCTGTTCCCAACAGAGGATCATTCTGAAAAGCCTTTCTGTGCTGCTCTCACACGGATACGAGCATCCCATTATAAGCTGGTAAAGCCATTAGAGCATGGCTTGATGAGTTTTGCTAAAAACCTTCACAGCAATCTAGACTTAGGTGGAGCCTTTATTTAATTCAAAAAAGAATCCTGTGTTACTTGGGATAATTCCAGTGAAATGTTCCCCTGAAACTCTTCCTTTAAATCAGCCAAAAACTTACGATAGATCCTCAGATCATTAAAGTATATTTTAAAGGGACAGACTATCATTTGGAGAGCCTGTGTTAAGTTACAGTACTAGATCTGTTGTCACCAGTTCCAAGAGAAGCAGGACTGAGTCTTGCACAAACCTTGTAATCTTGTGAATGAATAGGGAAAAAAAAATGTGTTTCATTACTCACACTGAAGTGTTTGATTTTTAACAGGAACGCAAAGCTGTTCATCTCATTATTGCTGTAACTTTGGAAATAGAGAACTGAATAAACAACTTCTTCCTTTTTTAAGTTAGTAAATCCTTCATTCCAGGGAAATTTTAAACATGAACACAGACAAGAGTATTCCTAAATGGTACCTTAAAAGAGCATCGTAGGTTGGTCCATTGTATACCTTCTATTGTTGTTCAAACAACAAACTTGCACAGAATCATAGAAGTGTGGTAGCAAAAGACAGATTCTCTGGAAATTAGCAGAAACGATTGATTAAATTCTTCAGAATCAAACTCCTAATATGTTATTCATCTGTTCGTGTTGTCATGCATGGCAGACAAGGGAAGACAGAGACATCGCTATCAGTGTAAAGAGGAGCAAAGAATAGACAGCAAAGAGAATGCAGGAAGCCCAAGGCTGCCAGGAAAGCCATTTCTTTGTGTTAGCCTGTGATAGCCATGCTCCTACTATTCATCCCTAGCTCCTGTGCCAGCAGCTGGGGGAGTTGAGTCTTCAAGGGGGCAGAAACTGGGGAACTGGTGGCACATCCCTCTGTGATTGCCTTGGGGCAGAGGCTATCAGGACAGCTGGAGGAGGAAAAACCTGCAACATGACCAACAATGAGCTCAGGCTAATGGGGACAGAGGCCAATTCTCTCAGCAGCTTGTGTTGTCATCCTGGCTCTGGCTACCAGTATGAAGCAGCGCGTGCCATGCAGGACCTGGCACTGGTATGTGACCAGTAAACACCGCCCTGGCACTGGTGCAGGTGGCTGCCAGGGGCTGTGGGAAGATGGGGGGGGTCTCAGGCAGCAGCTCTGGATGAAGTGTTAGAAGCAGAGAAGTGACATGACCAAAGCTGGGGTCCTATCAGAGATTTCCTAATCTCTCCCACGCAGAGACTTGAGTTGTTTTGTTTTGCAGGGGAATTATCCTATGAGCCTCATCAGTTTCCTTCTGAATTTAGTAAAGGCTCTTAAATGACACAAATGTGCCTGAAAATATTGCTGTGAATCCAGAATTATACTTTATTTCTTAAACTGAATTTTTTATCTTGATTCCTAAGCACACATCTGCCCAAAACCATGTCTGTCCTGTTAGACAAACAACATCATAGTCACAGGAAAAGCTAAAGTGGTATTCCCAAGGCATCATAATTTTTGGTGAAGCACAACAGTACAAGGAACAAACATTTAAAAATAGTTACACAACTTAAAAAATACATAAAATAATATTCCACTCTTAAACAAGTAAATATAGCATCAGTTCAGTACAGAATTACTTTATGTCCTTTCCCTAGATTTCTGAGAATTTTGATAGATACAGTGAAGCCAATGGAGAAAGAGATACAGGATGCAATAATTAAGACTTCAAACTCTCTGTGTAAACAGCTCAAGTTGTTTGCAAAAGCCCAGTTCACAGCACACACCAAAAAGAAATCCCAGCATTCTCCCAGGTGAAGTAAATAGGATTTCCTCTGCATTTAAAGCTGACATTTCCTTGATGCAGTTGTTCCTGTGATGTGTAACTGCATTATTGCCAGTTGTGATGGGAAGAAATGAGGCAAAATGCAGATGTGCATCCATTCCCTATAAGTGAAGTGATCCCTTCCTAGCTCCATGCTGCAGGGATACTTACAAAAGTACTGTCTTTGTTAAATTACAAGAATCCATTACTTGCTTGTAGCAGCAGTCAGATTACAGCAGGCACAGCAAAGAAACTGAGAACAGGGGGGCATGTGCTTGACCAGTCCTTCACTGACATGTACCCAATGCAGTGACTCTTAATGAAATCAAAGGCACACAGTGCGGAGAAGTACAGGCCTGTAGGGTTAGTGTGAAGACTAAACTACTCTTTTTGCAATTAGCACTTGCAGGCCATGTAAGTTTACAAGGAAGGATGCCTAGATGCCCCAGTACAACTTCTGTGATGGATACAAATACTTCACTCATCAGTCCTGCACATCAGACTTGCATGAATTCCTCACAAAAACTTGGGTAGATGGGGTCTGATGGCCTCAGAATGCCTGGAGACATTTCACACTAGCACAGAAATTAGGCCTGAAAACTCTGACCCACTAAACCCTAAAGAAACAGAGCAGCTCCTGAATACATAAAATAAAGCAACAGTTCTGCAGATCAGTACTGTTTAATTGACATTAAAGAAATAGTACTTTCTGTTTTCAGAGGAGAATGTATTCCTAATTCCCAGCTTGTACCTGACCAAGGTTTTCAGCCTGCCTGACTGTCTCTGAAGGTTGGTAAATGGGCTGAGAAATGAGGAGAAAAGAAAGGCATTGTATGCGGAGTACAAAAGTGAACCACTTTGACTCAGTTTATACATAACTCCTCATATACTTTCAGTTCTGCCCAGGCACCATGTGGACTCCATTTAGCGTTCTCTCTGGCTTAATCTTAAAGGATTTATTAGTGGCTGTGCTTCTGTGAGTGGCTGTTTGCAGTCCTGGCTTCTCCAAATTTGAGACACAGTGGGAAGAATAAAATTTGAGACACAATGGGAAGAGCAGTTGCTAAATCAGAATCCAGCCCAGCAGGGAAAGAAACCATTGAAAGATAAAAGTGTATGTAACAATCTAGGTATTCTAGTTAGCATTTAAAAACCTATTTGTAAGCCCATGGTGTCTTCTAATCTTTTGGCTCCAATATCAGCTTCCTTCCTCCAGACGATGCAAGCAGTATTTTAGGGAAAATGGCATTTAAAGGTAATGGGCGTGTTGTAAACCATCATACAACCCATTGGTGGGCTCTTTGTCCACTTTGGTGGAGAATTCCCAGTCCTGATGAAGTCAGTGAGCAATCACCTTGGAGTGGCTCTCTGTTGTCCTGAGCAGCAAAAAACTGGTGCCCAGCCCAGCCCTTCTTCTTGCTTCTTGTGTGACTTTGCCCACACAGTCTCTTGAACCTTATATTCTATTTTGTTACTATCACTCTGCCAGAGGTACCTGCTCCCCTTGGATTTATTTTAGACTAAATTTAAGTGATTTAGTTCAAGCCTCCTACCCCAACATGGCCTTGGATGTCTGTATCTTCCCTGCAGAGTTATTGTTATTGGTGCCTGAGTTAGTTCTGTCTGAGTGAAAACCAAATCACACAAGGGGCACAGGGTACTTGTAGCTGAGTTGCATTTGCTTTCCTTTGGGCTTGATTTTAGTAAGATGCAATTCATATATCAACAAAGCAGTTAAAACAGATCCTAACTGAACGAGTAGTGGAGTACACAGAAACCTGTGATTTTATTGACTTTCAGTAAAGTTCATTGCCAAGACATGCATGAGAACCTGTAACTAAATTGAAAAAAAAAAAGGTAATGTAATCAAATCTTACTGCCCTCTCGAGTGGTAATGGTTTAGGCTTACGCTGGTGAGAACTTGTAGCATGTGATTTTTTGGCTTAATGTTGAAAGTGGATTTCCTAGGATGTGTTTTTTCACTCCAGTACAATGCTGTGAAGGCTCATGAAGGAGGGAAGGAGATTCTCTCTTCACTCTGCTCAGGTCATGTGAAGTTGCAGATACTGCCTAACATCCCTACTCTGAGTTTTCTAACCATTTCCATTCCATACAGGGAAAAAAAATTATATGCATGTTTCCTTTTCAGCTGTTGACCTCTCAGAATCAAACCATATCATAGCTGAACCCCCCACAGCAGTGAGATAATGGCTCATTGCCTGGCCCTTTGACAGAGTGGCACACATGAAGAGTACCAGCACAGGGAAAGATGTGCAGATATTTATGAAGTGTGTGAAGAAGCAAAGAAGCTATGGGTCAGGCAGGCTCACCAGTCCCATGCTGTGTATCAGAGAGGTTCTGAAACATTAATATACTGATGGACAGGCTTATTTGTTGCATGCTTTGCATATTTGATGTCTGCAGCTTGAGATTCCTTTATATTTCTTACAGCCCGGAACGAGCAAGAGGAGCAGGAAGAAAAACGAGAGATAAAGAGAAGATTAACACGTAAGGTGAGGAGCAGCTTTGATCCTATTAAGGCATTACCGTAACTTTCTTCCTACTGCACAACTGTTTGCATTTTCTCTTTTCCACAGCGCTATTTTCAAAACCAGGGTATGAAACCAGTCTTGAAAGAAGTCTTTAAAAAAAGACATCACCTCTGCTACAGAGTTTAAGTCCATGGACAGGGAAGGGCTATTAACAGTAACATCTTGAAGTTGGCCAAAGTAAGGTCTAGACTTTGTAACAGAACCAGCTTTGGACTATGCAGGATGCACAGCCTAGCATTAGTCCAACTCTGCTCTGTGTAAATGGAATAGCTTAAAAAGCTATTACAAGGAGAGAGCAAAGTTAAAACAATGTTGATTGCATTTGAAAGTTCCAACTGAAAAAGCAGTAAACTAGGAAATAAACTTTTTCTGGAAGGGAAGATTGCCACTTGAGGCATTCCAACTAAATAGAGACAAGCACTTGGAAAATGGTGTATAGTGCAGAAAACAATCGTACAATCTTGTATCAGCAGGGAAGGACGAAGTAAACAGGATAGTTTGGTTTTGGTTTTTCTCCCATTTGAAAGTCATTTGCTCTCAAAACTGAAGAACAGTAATTTCAGATACACACGTTCAGATTCTCGGCTGGTGTAAATGTCTACAGATGTCCCAATATACATAGCCAACAGTCTGTCCTGTTATTGCAGGTAAACTTTATTTCACCACTCGCTTCTATTTCCCACCTACAGAGCAGGAGAAAGTCCTCTAAAAACTCACAAGCTAATGGAGCAGCACCATTCCTCTATACGTTTTTAGGTGGCTTAGTCTTTTTGGCATATGTGACTGCAAGCTTTTATGGTGCAAATAATGACAGGAAAAGGACACTGAATACATATGCAAAGCTTACATTCAGAGAGCTGGATTGTTTTCTTTCATGCTTAAAAATCTCAGACTTTATTCTCAACTCAATTAAATCAGCAGAGTTCTCTGACACCAACTGGGTGATACTGCCTGTGTCTGCAGGAACAAAGAATGTGGCCCAGAGAGCTATAATACTATTTTAAAGATGCTAATTCCTTCCAATAATGGTAGGGATGCTCTTATCCCCTTCTAGCACTGTCTGAAGGAATAGAACCTAACTGTAGTGCAGAGATTTTGTAGGATTTAAGCTCAGTGCAAAGGGTAGAAGTGCTGCTTTACCAGATTGTCAATTTCTATAGGCATTGAAGAGTAAACATGTACAGGAATCCAGTATGAAGCTTTATGCCATCTGATGAACAACTGTAGTAGATAAAAAACAAAGCTTCCCATAGCTAATCTGCTGCCTTACAAGTGGGGGCTTGCTAAAGTATCCTGCACTATCACCATACAGTTCCCATCCTCTGCTCTTTTGTAGGAAAAGTACATAGCAAATGAATTGTCTATTAGAGATAGAGGCCACAGCTAAATCCTGAACTAAAACATCCAGGCTACAGCATGACTGCTCCCTGAAATCTCAGTAGATTTCTGTAAGGTTTTTTTTCCTTTGTCTTGTTTGCACTTTTAAGTAGGAACGAGCCAGTTCAGTTCCTTGGCAGGTCAGTGTTCGTACCAACATTCCAGGCTATACTGCTTTTAGCCTTTTTTTTTTTTTGGGGGGGGGGACCTTTTACCAAATATTTTCTTTTGCCCCAGCACGTTTGTAAGGCTGGTAGCAACATAACATATATTGTTTGATTTTGCTTACTTGTTAAACTGTTGTAAATTGTTCCAGGACTAGATGATCTTAGCAGTCTTTTCCAAACTTAGTGATTCAATGATTCTAACCACAGGCTCGGTCTAACAAGGAATCTCATTCTCACCTGCCAAATGTACCATCACAGAGGCTCAGTAATGTCTAGAGGAAAGAAGTGAATAAAGTGTGCTAATGGCTAGATGACAACTAGAAATGCCAAGTGCCTAGTGAATCCTGCAGAAATTGTTATTCCCCAGCTCTGTCTTTCATGAACATGTCCCAGATGTGTCGTGTTTGCAGCAGAGTGGCAGGCTCCTTCTGTCGATTTGTACTGAAGTCTTATTACCAAAGGATTTTAAACCTCAGATCAAGCAGAAATTTAATTGAGCACGTCAAGAGTGTTGCCCAGCAGACCTCTCTATTTGCACTGAGTTCTCATGCAGACATGCCCACAGGGTGAATTCAACATAAGGAGAGTATGCCATGTTGCCTTCTTGTATCCATGTCTGGTTGTAATCAGAAGGGGTTCTGCAGAAGCCGCTGAAAAGACTTTTGACTTTGCACTGTAGAAATTGTTACTGTTCTGATTTTCCGATGGCGTGATTCCAGCTCCAAGGGTACAGCCCATTTCCTCATCCATTAGAAAGCTGTTCCTAAAATTCCTTCAGCAATCACACTTTGCTACAGTATAATGATGATGAGTTGTAACATGACATGCTGTAATAACTGAAATTACCTTACTAGGTCTAGATGTCTTATTAAAGGCAGTAATAAATATCTGCTTGAATTCATCACATGGACAGGCAATTTCTAAAAAAACTCTAAGAAGTTGGGTAGCCTATAGCAAGCTGCACTTTTAAGCACTTTTCATGCTCTCAGACTCATCTAACTCCAAATTAACTAACTGGGGATAGGAAATAGCTGTCATTCAGAGAATAAAAAGTAGGCAGGTAGTGCTTGAAGCGGTTTCTCAGGAACTTTTTTCCCTCCTGCCAGATGAGGGTGAGATATTTGCCTCCCACCTGAGTGCCCAGGGGTGGGTTTTGCACATCTGTCCTACCCTGTGCTCTCTCCCGTGGAGTCCCACTGGCAGCTTTGGTCACCTGGACTCCTACTGTTTGAATTGAGGAACATGAATAGGTGGGGATTTCTCTGAGTTCTGGTTGCAGACACCTACCAAGCCCATTCCAGGACTGTGAATGTGCAGAGATCCTCTGGGAGAAGTGTTGGATCCAGTTTCCTTTCACAAGGAGATCTGGGCCTCCAGAAACTACAACTAAGAATTTATTCTCTCCTAGCTGTAGAGAATTTGGTGTAGCACCAAGGCAATTAACATGAGCCTGAACTCCCCCTGAGGTTTTCCACAGACATAGAGTTGTAGCCTGAATGAATGGAAGATATTACAGATTTAAAGAGGAGGCAAAGCTCTGCTTTTCCTGCCTTCTCTCAAATAGCATTATTCTCCCTGTTCCCCAGAGCTGTTCACTGCTTCCTGTCCCCCCACTGTCTTTCACTGGCTACAAGACTGAAATTCTTGTAGCAGTAGAAACAACCGAAGTGAAGAGATGTGGCTGTTTTTTAAAATCCATGCAATAGTCTTTGTTCCTGTTAAATTCCTGCTCCAGTACAGCTTAAAGCCTCTATTCATGGGAGAGCAAGCTGGAGCCTCTCCAGGAAGTGTCTTGCTGATAAGTATTTTCTATAATGGACCTCCCCTCACCTGCATCAGGACGGGATGTTTGAAATAATGAGTTGTGTGGCAAAGCAGAGGGAGGTGAGAGGAAGGGGGAAAAAAGGTCAGAAAGCAGTAAAGGTTAGCTGCTAATTTGGATAAACAACATTTATAGTCAAAGAGGGAAAACAGCTTTGGGGCATTTAAGTCACATCCTGCTCCTATGTCTTAGCACAAAAGGTGGGGAGCAAAGAGGTGAGGAGGTTGTTAGCACTGCTAGTTAGAGTCTGTCATTTTTCACTTTGGTTTCTTCCATAAATAACAATCGTAACATTTTAATGAGGTAACAAAGCAAGCAGTGAAGAGACAGGGTAACAAGCTTCGTTGTGTCTGAAGAAGAGCAAACTCAGCATTTCACATTTGACTAAATCCCAAGACCAGACTGAGATTGGTTTTCCCTCCACTTTACCTGGTGACAGTGCTTTAGTTTGCTTCATATTCCATGCTGAGAACACAGGGGTTTGAGTTAAAACTTTCCTTGAAAACTAGCTTAATATCAAGGCTTGCAATGTGCCCATATTTATCTCTAGTGATCCAAAACATCCAGAGGAAAACTTGGCCTCCCATGACAACAGTTTTTGTTCACATTCACACTAAAATAATGTGGTGACTTGCCATTGAATTGTCATTCTCCCTCAACTCACAAATCTTCACAAATAGATGAACAGAAATGTAGGTAGTACCCCCAGACCTGACATGGACATCCTTCTAATTTTAGCATTGGTAAGAAGAAAAAAAAAACACACCCTTGTCATACTTGTAAAAAATGCCAATGCTTGTGCCATCTTTTTAAGAAAACACCTCCCTCTGGTGCCCCTGAAAAGTTCCCAGATGTCCCAGTGTCCCTTACTGGGCTGAACTTGTAGGGAGCCGTGGATTGAGCATAGAGAGAGAGAGAGATCCCTTTTTCCCTGCTTGGAGCAGCACCTCTTGCTGTAAGCAGTTGCCTCATGTCCTTGAATGTGTCCTTTCCCTGTAACTTTCAAACATTCTTGATTCTTCCTGTTAGAAGAAGCAGAGCTCGTTTTCAGATGTGGTCCATGAAGGATTGTGTAGCATTAAGTAATTTTGATCCAAGAGACTGTAACTCACAGGTCATTAAAATAAATGCCAAGGTGAGATCTCAGGTGAGCTGTGCCCTTGTCACAAACTGACACTGAATGGACACTTACAGAGTGTTCTGCAAAGCTGTCTGCCAGCTACTGCTGCCCTTAAGATTTAAGGGTGCTCTGCATAATGCAGACGTATGGAGAGAGCTTAGCAGTTCACAAGAAGCCTCTGTAATAGCATGAGAAAGAGGCAGGGCAGTTTGTTAACAGTACAAATAATGAAGCTTTTATTGCTATCTTAAAATTATTGTCCTTTTCTCTCCATTTATTATGATCAGATCTGTGCTTTGGCTTAATATAAGTGTGTGTGTGTGTTTATGTATGTAAATATATGTAGATTTATGGCCATACATTAGCTGCTGGATATAAGGACAGTATTTCAGGCAGAGCACTGGCACAGGAGCGGTGCATCTCATGGCAGCTCAGAGCTCTGCCATGGGGTCCTGGGTCACCCTGAGCTGGTTGCTTTGTCTTTGAACTTCACTGCCCCAGCTGCTCGGTAGGGATGGGGACACAAACCACCACTGTAGTGAGGTGTACAATACCTAACATTGTAGTGGTGTTGCAGTGGTTGTATGTTTCCAAAGCAAAATCAGGGCATCTAAAAACAATATGCAGTTGTAGAGGAAGAGCACAACCAGATTTTAGTCTGTGTTACATTCAGGTGCCACCTAAGAATGAAAAAACCACATTAACACCAAAGTTTCACAATGGGCTTGTGATGCTGTGGCATTCTTGACACCAGCCAGACATCAGCTTGGCACAGCGTGGTGCAGTGGATCAGCAGTCATCTGCTCTCTCCTCTGTAAAACTTGTTCATCTCTAACATGGATACAAACACAAGAGTCAGCTGGTAAAAGTTGACAGAAGCTGTGAAATAGAGCTAATCATTTTCTGGAAGGCTTCTTCCAGCTTGCAAGACTTATAGGAATCCCTTTTTTCCTTGGTACCATTTAGAAACACAGAGTTAAGCTGATAGATTTCGTTTTTTGCTGATGTCAGCATACTCCATGTCATAAAACATTTTATTTGAAAGAATAGTCAAAGTATCATCTGTGCTGTGTCCTGAAATGTTAAAAGCTGAGAATGATACAGATAATATTGGTGATTCACCCTTTATTCTAGCTGCTGGGTAAAAAAAAAAGGAGATGATAAAAGTAAAGGTGAAGTCTCACACCCTTATCTTTGCAGTATTTGGCTGTAGTCACATCATTATTTCAGTACAAAGATCTTCTCTATCCCCACTGTCCGGGCATAGATTAAAAAAAAAGAAACTGAAAGAAAAATTCTGCTGTGTTGTCTCATTAGCAGTGCATCAGTACTAACAAAGCTGCCAGCTGCCAGTAGCAAGACTGCTGGAAAAACTAGTGATTTGGAATCACATTCCAGATGAGTTGTAGGACAGAGAGAAGCATCTCTGAGGCTTATGACTTGAGAGGCAATACACGAACCACCAAGCTACAACTTGATGGATGCTGCCCTGGGCAAAGGCACGACATGGCAGTAGAGGTGTGTGCTTGGTTACACTTCCTTCTGTGATTTCTTTCTCTTCTCTGGGCACAAGTGTCTCAGCTACAGACAGGAGGGGTAGAGCAGGGTTCCTGTTGTCCTGAGCAGCTCACTGGGGTAGCAGTGCAGCTTTGCAGCATTTCTGCAGGTGATGAAAAAAACCCACTTTTTTTGTGAGTGCTAAGGACTGTCTGTGTCAGTAGAGCAGCACCACTGTCACCTCCAGTAGCAACGCTTTCTTATAAAAGGGAAGAGAGAGGCAAGCATCCTCCAGGGGTGATTCAAAGAGAGTCACACACAGGGATTTAAGTGCAGAGGTGGGATGGGATGGGGGAGCAGTCCTACCCCGGCAATTGCTTGCTGTAGGGAGGTGGGCTTCTCTTCTGTGATCTCGCAGATTTTTCATCCTCCTCTCAGCATCCTCTCTGGTTTGAATGTTAATTCTCCCTGGGAGATGCTTAATTTGGGAAATAGGTGGAATTGCACATCAGGATCCGGGAGCCTGAACTCCTTTGCAGAAAAGAGTCTCAAGCATTTTATGAAGTACTTAACTTTTCACTGGTCACAAGAGTGAAGTATTGCAAAGGCCACTTATTTCTAGTGAGTGGTAATAGCATGAGATACTGTCTAGCTAAATGTTAGCAGTTTATGGTTATTTTTCCTGATAATATCATTGTTACAGATGTTTCACTAATGGAGGATTAGCAGCTAATGCACATCCACACGCACACACCTGTTGTGTCTTCTTCAGAAACAGTCATGTAATTCCACTTGACATGAACCAGCAAGCTGAGCATCCAAGGAGAACTGATCCCAAAATGCCATACCTATCCTTGGCCATGTAAGTGGCCATTCCACACATGGACTACCAGAGATTGACTCGGGCTGCTCTCTCTGCTGAGAAGTTTGAAATAAATGGCTTTGGAACAGTAAAGATGCTTTCTTGACATGATACAGCCCACCCTTGCAATTTGTTATTTGGCTTGTAGTATGCAGTATAAGCTGTTGAAATCAAATATGCTGTGGCATATAATTGAGCTGCAACATCAGTGAAACATCCAGCAAGCAATAGTCGTCATCCTGCCCACCAGTCTGGAGCATAAGGGCAGGTCTGCAGAATGTCAGAATGGTAAGGAAAGTTGTTTGTCACCTTTTGCAACTAACTCAAGGCAGGATCCACCCTGATCCTGTGCATAGCCCTTCCCAGTCAGCACTAAGGCATCCATAGCAGCTCAAGACAAGGGAGCATATGGGAGCGTGTGAGGTTATAAGGTCTTTGTCTCCTCCTGAGGCATCACTGTGCCAGCTGTCTTTGTTGCGTTACATCCAATTTCTGCCAAGGATTGGCAGCTTTTGCCACAGCTGCTTCCCAAACAACAGCGCTGTGCTCCAGCAGCAAGGTGGGATGACAAACGAGGTGCTGCAGCAAACAACAGGTTATCTATCTCCCAGGTAGCAGGTCTGTGAAAGTCTGGTAAAAACAGTAGTACTGGTGATGTTTGAACTCTCTTATTATCACAATGGTGGTTGCAGTAAAACTGATCCCCAGGCAGCACTCTGCAGGGAAGAAGTGAAGTTCTGATGTCTTTTTCCATCACTTCTTCAACCACGCAGCTGAGTCAGAGGCCCACGGTAGAGGAGCTGCGTGAGAGGAAGATCCTCATCCGCTTCAGCGACTACGTGGAGGTGGCCGATGCACAGGACTATGACAGGAGGGCAGACAAACCCTGGACACGACTCACGGCTGCCGACAAAGTAAGTGGAGTGACCTGGGGAGAGCCATGACCTGAACAGCTAGAGCATGTCATGGTCAACAGCACCCCTCGGGTCCCACAGCCAGCAGGGAGAAACCATCTGAGCTCTCTTCCCAGTTCACCAGGTTTGTGGTTTGAGTTATACACCTTTGGCAAGAAGGCTCCTGTGTGTGTGGAAACATAGCGGCGTTACATCATTTAAAAAGATCCTTTGAGGAAAAGCCTTGATGGTAGCCCTGTGTTATTTGTTTATTGATTTGGGGCTTGCCACATAATTCTGCCAGATGAGAATGCCCAGAAGCAATTTTCCACAAGACAGACCTAACAGAGCAGCACCTGCCAGAACTGAGTAGGCCTGGGTGCAAGAATGCCAGCAGGTCAAATTGGCAAAAGCACCTCCATCCCACCAAGGGCAGGTTACTTTTCTGTAGGGAGTGAGGCAGGTGTGATACCTGCCTTCTTCAGGATACCTGCCCCCTCCCACACAGCACTGTAACCACTAAGCAGAGGCCTCATGAGCCCTGCAGATGAAAAACAGCTGCATATTTGGTAATAAGTGCACTGTCCTCTGAAAACCAGTTCTGGCTTCATGAAGCAGTGTCTCTGGTGTCAGTGCTGGTTGCAGAGAGGTTAAATCGCTGTCAAATGGTCAAAGTCACATCCTGAGGGGAAGAGAAGATGAGGTGTCCAGAGAGGTCTTTTCTCACCTGTGTCTGTGGAAAGAATAATTATCAAATATCTCTATGAAACCTAGCCTGTTAAATAGTTTAGTATGAAAAAGAAGTACTTTGAGGTCACCTTTCCTTCTTTATAACATGTGCGAGGTCAGTACACAAATCAGAGGACTCATTTTTCTCTAAACAAACCTTTTTTTCTGGCATATTATTCACGTTTGGGTCATCTGGGAAGTGTTCTAATTCCTGCCATTCAGATCACCTTCTTTTCCCTACCACTTTCTTCTGTTGGGAAAAAAAAAAAAAAAAGAAACCAAGTTGGAATCAACGCCACAGAACCTGACAAAGCTACAACATCCTATTATTTTCTTCTAAAAGTTCTGATTCAATAACTGCCTTCATTGGTCAGCACAGACTAAATTTATTGCAGAAGTAGATTTTAGTAATGGGCTTTTCTGTTTCTCAGTAAATCCTCCTCTGTGTTCTGGACATGAAGCCCGGCTTCATCTTTCCCAAGTCTGTTGGAGGAAGAAGGGCACTCCTGCATCTCCCCAGCAGCTAAGAGATGCAGGAGGTGATAGATTTCAAACCCAATGGGAGGTAGCAGCCCATTTGACCTCCTTCACAGTCACTTGAGCAGCAAATGGGTCTGCTGAAGGTAGACCCTTGAGCTGGTGCATAGTCATCTCTCTGCTCTGACAGACAGAGGCAGAGCTGTGTAGGAAGAGCACAAGAGGCTCGTTCTATAGGTCATACTCACAAGATCTGTCATGTAGGCCTTGTCCAGGCAAAGGTCATTGGTGAACAGATAAGTGGTTGCTGTGGAAGCCCTGTTTTGGGCTTGAGCTCTTTATCCTGGTTTAGACTTAATCAAGAAAATATTCTTGACAGCCACAAGTACCCGTAATTGGAGTGGCCATTTCCAGCCACTGATGTTCCCAGCAGTGGCACACACCTCAGGCTCATGGGAGCACTTGGCCACACTGGCACCTGGCACATCTGTTCTTTGTGCTCATGGAGAGGCCCACCTGTGTGCTACAAATATCACAGCACTGTCAGAAGCCTGCAGTGTGGGGCTAGAGCCATTTTTGCCGAGAGCCCTTTCCACGAAGAAGCTGAGTCCCTCAAAGTCAACCTTTCTTTTTCTTTGTCAGTATTCCCCTTCTCATCACTTTCTTTTCCCACGTGGACAAACCACAGAAGCTGAAGGTAACAGGTTCTCCTACTGAAGTTCATCCAAGCACTTACTTAAGGTGAATTTGGATGGGTTTGGCAGGTGGAACAACTGGGTCAGAATAGAGGATGAGGGCAGAGGGGCATGGCCTGTGAAGAGCAGGGAGCTAGGCCACCCCCTTTCCCTCTCGAGTAAGTTCAGCCCCAGATTAGGTGGCTTCACCAAAGGGAATTTAGGACTGCATAAAGGGGAGAGACATCTCAGATGTAATTCTGGTGAGATCTACCAACGCTAAGTTTACTCACGGTCCATCTCTGAAACAGAGCACAGGGTTTGAGAAGCTCTGGTGCATGATTTTTGTCTCATACTTATGCTAATTTGGATTTTGTATATGAAAGTGTTTACATAATAAACCCAAATTGGCTTTTGTATCAGCACTGTCTGCATTTTCAAACTGATCCATCTCACTGAAGCATTTATTTCTTCCCTTTATGCAATTTAGAACACTTACCTCTTTTCCTTTTCATGTTGTTTTTTTCTCTCTAATAATGTTATTTGTTTCACTTCTAATATATTGTTTTGAGAACAAAGTGAACTTGTTTTGATTTCTGTCATTTATACATTTATGAGTTTATTTGTCCTTTGCAGGCAGCCATTCGTAAAGAGCTTAATGAATTTAAAAGCTCTGAAATGGAAGTTCATGAATTAAGTAGGCATCTAACAAGGTAAGTTCATTATTTTAAGGATAGCAATGAATACCGTTGTTTTCCAAAAAACAGAAAACAGCAACCATTTCTCAAGCACCCTGTGAACTCGTGACCCCACTTAGAATTACAGGCTGTCAAAGAAACACACTAATGAACTTATGCTGCCCTATTGCATGGCTGTATGGAGGCTGTGTAACCTCTTGTTTTAAATCATCGTGCTCTGGTGTCAGTTCTGCTGCTATCAAGGGTAAATAGCATTGAAGAGAAGGACAGGGAACTCTTATAGAGTAAGTACATAGAAAGGGATGAATGAGTGCAAATTCTCAGTACTGTCATCTATGTCTTGCATTGGCCATGCAGAAGGGGAATAGTTACTCACAATTGTACATAGTGCCAAAGAGCAATGACAGGAATAAGGTCTGGTTGTGAAGCGAGGGCTATTTCTCTGGTAAGAGAGGGCTTATAGAAGTCTGGTAAAGAGACGTGATCAGATTTTTGTTTGAGCTGAATGTGTGATTGCTGCTCTATACATTCCATTTGAAAATCTGCAGTTCTAATGTATTTATGTTGACTGAAAAGGGAGTCAAAAATATACCAAAAAACTGATTATTTTTTTTTTTAAATCTTGAAGCTTATTCTCAAGTTCCTTTATCAAAACAGAAAACACAGCTGAGTATTTTTTGCTGTTCACAGGACCATGGCTAGCCAATGTATCAGAATGCACACAATTATTTGCCATCACTTGAGTCAGCACTGCACTGTGCCCTCCCCATGTCCTGGTTTCAGCCCAGACAGTGCTGATAGCACACTGATGTATTCATCAGACGGGTGGTGGTCATAAAAAATGCAGTTAAGGCTTTTAAGAAAAATACAAAAAAGCTTAAGGCAAAATATTTCTTGTCCTAGGGGATTTTTTTAATGATAAATTCTTTATTAAAATTCACCACATTCATAATGCATGTATCCCTTGCTGTAACAATACACCTTGCACTGCCTGTCATGTGCTGCAGTGATCACTGTTATGATGAAGTGCTGCTAAAGAGAAGCAAGCAGCTGCCTTTGAGCCATGAGATCTGGCCAGGTCTGTCAGCTCCAGTGACTGAGGCTTTGAGGGACACTTGGCTCACTGAGCACATCTAACTTACAAGGGATGAAGCTGTTTAAAAGCAGATGTTGCTACAAGCAGTTGAGCTCCAGTGACTTCCTTGAGGCACGTTAGCATCCCACGAAACTACAGGCTAGTTTAGTTTTCCAGGAAGCCTCTCTACCTGCTTACCTTTTGCAGGTTTCAGAGCAGTATTTTGCTTCTTTTCCATTGCTAGGGTGAGTGGTTACCCTTTGAGTTATGCTCATTGGTGTTTGACAGCTACCAAGTGGCTTTGACCCATTCAGGCCTGGGGCAGGCAAACTCAAAGCTACAGTTAATACAATAGAAATTGGCACAAAGGTTTGAAGTTCAGCAGGACTTGCTGGTTTGGCAAATGGCCTCAGGAAATACGCACTTGAAGGGAGCAGGCTGAAACAAAGGAGAGTAATTCCCTTAAATAAACTTAGATAAATCACCATTATAAAATCATTAGCAAGGTAATGACCTATTCGTGTCATTAAGCAGTGGCACGAGCTGGGCTGAGAGTGTCACTGCTGCTTTCCTAATGGGACAGATTAATTAGTTCAAAAAAATCTCACATTCAAAAAATCAAACCTTAAAAAAATGCATTTGCACAGCTGATAAAACAAGCCTCTTGCTGCTGAGCTCTTGCAGAAACGGTGGCCTTTTCAGCCCTGCTCCTCTCTTCAGACCTACCAGAAACACGGAGAAGCTTCTGATAGATCTGAGTGCTAACTGCTAATGCCTGTGAGCTGCAAGTCTGGTGAGAACCAAAGAAGTTTCCATGTCTGTTCTAGTTCTGCAGTACCAGCATGGTGATGTCAGTACTGCAGGAATCCAGCTGCATAATTTTGTAGCAGTTAGGTCCCTTTTTTTTTTTCTTTTAATTTGTACCATATATGTGAAAATATTATCTTACTACTTCTTTCTTTTTCCCTCCCTTGCATTTTAGGTTTCACAGACCGTAGCAGTTAAATTCTACCTGACTACTATGCTGTCTTCAAAACATAACAAAAAGGAACCATAAGTGCTGGTATTATTCACTTCCCTGTTATGTACAATGTAAATCTTATGAACTGCCTTTCTACAAAAAAAAAAAAAAAAAAAAAAAGAAAGAAAGAAAGAAAAAAAAAAAAGTAGATGAATATTTAAAAATATAAAAGAAAATTGTATGTACATGTGATGGGTACTGCAGCATCATAAGACCTGCTGGCTCAAGCTTCAATTACAGAAAATACCCCTGGTGGGAATTGTGCCAAGACGCAGCATTTATGTGTAAGACTTTCCTGGCATGTGGATTTGCCATAGTGGTCAAGCCCAGCTGGTGGGGCATCCATTAGTTCACCTTCAGGTACCCCTCACCCTGACAAGCCTCTGTCATCAGCCTGAGAGAGCCCTGAAATGGTATCCAGGGAACCACAGGCCTGGGTGATGTCTCCAGCAGACCTGCACCTATGGCACTAAAGGACTTCCTTATACCAAACGCTCCTTTCAGTCTGCAAGCACCTTACAAGGACAGGGAAGAAGCAAAACTACTCTGTGGGCCCTTTCATCTGCAACCATCATCTGACTTGAAGCTGCTTGCTTGCCTACCCTGGAAAAGCATATGACAATAGTTGGCTCCCAAGAAGAAAAAAGGACTCCCTACATGGTCACTGCATGGTATTCTCTCACTCTGTAGCTTGTTTTTATGCTCAAGCCTCATGATTTTGTGAGGGCTGACACACCTCCAGCAGCAAGAAGGGCTGGGATTGCCACCTGTGCTGCAGAGGGCACGCCATGGGAAAACTGGGGACAGTTATCCTCCCTATACCAGGTGTAAAGAACTGACCCTAAATGTGTACTGAGAAAAGCATGACAGTGTGTTAACTAGCCTAACAAAGGAAAGCTGTTGCATTGGTATGGATGGTGGGACTCCTCACTGGTACGTGCAGCTGAAGCATAAAGACAGAAATCCAGGGGCCTGTTGCTGTACTTTTATTTATTTTTACCATAGAGGTTTAACACATGAACTGACCCAGTAGGGCACAGAGAGCTGGATGCTCTGGGCCTGGTTTACCTGCCTACTTGAATGTGTGCTTAACGCTAAACAAGCATGCAGACAGTCTCACTGAAATCCAGACCAGGTCTCACAGGCTTCATTGAAGCTGAACACATTTAAGTGCTTTTCTGGATGTAGGCCAACACCTTTTAGATTCAAGTCCTTAACTAGTGCAGTGCCAGTAAGTGTGGGCAAACATTGCCTATGAGTCCTTTCTAGCTCTCATTATACTGTTTTGGGTCAGTGATCCAAAGCACAATAGCAACATTACTGTAAGTTCCAAATTATTACTTCAGGACACCTTTTTATTTCCATAATAGCTACTATGCTTAGAATGTTTGAACAGAGAGGCCAGAGTTTAACTAAAGCACTGTTATTTCTGTTATTTTTTCTTTTTCCCTTTCTGTCTTCCAGTATCTGTCTACCCCTCTGTGCTGTCACTCTGCCTCCATGCTAACCTTGCCCTTCACTAATCATGGGCCAAGAGGCCTCTCTCTTGCATGAGCATTTTCTGGCCAATACTGTATAACGCCCAGCACTCCTGCCTCATCTCAGGCCTCAGTTTCATTCCTCTGGTGCAAAAGAACCTGCACACAGCCCAAACGATGCTCAGACTCCATTTGCATTCAGTGGTACTCAGTACCTCAGAGATGTGCTCCACTGGAGACAAGAGGCAGCATCTCAGAGCACTGATAGCCAGACAGACACTGCTTTGCAGTTATGTTCCTGAAAAGCTGGGGATCGTGGTTGTTGAATTTATTCACACATACATGTAACAAGACTGCATCACAGGCTTTAAGAAAGGGGAAAAAAACCCTCTAGGCTTTTAACCACACATACAGCATCAGGAAGGGGCTCTGCAGAATGGCTGAGGAGCAACAAGCCCTCCTCTTCCCTGCATAGAGCCTATAGCACCATGGCTTCATGAGCCTAGAGATTTGGTATGAATGGGAAGGAGAGCAGTAACAGAGATTGCAGGATGGAATAGGCTAGTGGGAGGGAAAGGAATTTTTTTTTTTTTCTTAATTTGATTATTAAAATGAAGAGGAAGAGGTAGAAGTAGCAGGCTGTTGTCAGTGCTAAAGTCTACAGGGGAATGGGTAGTCTGTGGGCAGCATCTCATACAGCTACTGACCCTGACAGCACCTACCTCTGCCAGCTGGTAGCCTAAACAAACCCTTCAGCAGTGGTTGAGGGGCATAACAGCTAGGTCCCAATAAATGCTGGTCAGTCCCCAGCCACTGTGCCTTTGGCCAGTGAGCCCAAGGCAAGTTCCTGCTGACCTCTGAGCAAGTAGTCTGCCTCTGGCTGCCTCAGGATTCATGTTGTCCCCAGGGCAATGCTTTTATTTTATTTTTTAATTATATTAACTTCTAACAGTCCAAGCAGACACAAGGAATCAGTGGAAGAACTGCCAGATTTCCTCCAACTCATAAGTACAGCCTGTTACTGAAAAGGAGGAGGCAGAAGAAGCAATATGAAGTTTTAGACACCAGTAAGCACTGCAGAACTGGCACCTCACCTGGCTTTAGCTCCAGCAGTTTGGGGTATTTTGCAAAGTTATCCTATGACAAGGCATTCTTCAAGAACTTGTCAGTGCCTGAATATCACAGCATGTCCTCTTTGGGCAGACCCAACTCTATCATTCTTGGGAAGTTGCAAGTAGGCTGGGGAACAGCTAATCCATTGTTTTAACCTGTTTTCTTGAGAACTCAGTTTTCTCATCTGTGAAAGCCATCTCTACCACAGCCATGATTCTGTTGGGAGAGGGAAAAAGTAGTCCTGATTCCCCCATCAAGCTGGATTATGTGAAGGAAATAAAGACAGCATTCCTGCCGAAGAATCAGTTACCACCAGTCATTCTCATTCACATTAGGAAGAGATTAACAGTAGCAATAAAGAAACTACATCACATTTAGAGAATGGAAGAAGTCAACACAGAACAAAAACTGTTTTTCCAGGGCTGATAATGGACGTAATATACGAGAGTCAAGTTTTTCTTATTATTATTATCAGCTGAACTGTGGGTTATTCATACTTAAAATGTACAAGTAACAGGACCTGTCCTACAGCCCGTGAAAAGATGAGCTGGAAACTGAGCAGGAAGAAAGAAAGAATTGAAACAGCAACTGCAGAACTTCTAGATGAAAGTTCTATGATTTGGAAAAAAGCAATGGCAAGGTAGCACAACATTGGCATTGTGTTCCCACCCACACTCTTGCCAGGGCTGGACTACAGGGACTGTATGGGCAATGGACTCAGGGCCAAAGGGGAAGGTTGGTGTTGTGGGCTTTCTGCACCCTAGGCACCATTGGTTAAGTACTTGCATGCTGAAATAGTTTTAGGCTCGAGGCTCCCTGGGATAGGGCTCAGACCAGCTTTTGTATCTAGACAATTCCAGGTGCACACTCTAGATGTTACTGAAAGAGGAAGAAGGAGGAAAAAATAATATAATAGATTTCTATTAACAATTTTATGTCAACTGAAGCTTGGTAGTAAGCCCATTCCACAAATACATTTCAGCCTAAGGTTTACATGTGAAACCACAGCACTTCATCACCACTGCAGCTGGCCACGAAACCCAGCGTCCACTATTTCTACAGTGCCATCTGTACAGTGGAAACACTACAAACGAAGAGTGGGAGCACTTCCAGCCTGCCTAGTTACATTAACGCTTGCACTCACACAAAAAAGGGCAAGATGGAAAACCCATAGTTATATGTGGACAGGGGCTCCCTAACATGCCTGCAAATAACATCACTTTGAATAGCCATGGCAGATGACTACGCTGATAAAAAAAATCAGGAAAGAAAAAAGGGGACAAATAATTTTTCCCAGGTGTTCAGCCTGCTTGAGCTTGGAACAACTTCTGTAAGCAAAGAGGATGTGACGGGCACACTATCTGCTTTCCCATGTGTCCCAGTTACTCCTGCACCAGTTGCATTTACCAGTTGATATCCAAGTGTATGTATATAGTTTGTCTTTGTATAGGAGTGAGTGTGGTGGCTGTCAATCATGTGCTCTTCCAGTATTGTAATTTAACAGATTATGGCTGTATGAAAACAATGTAAATAACTAGAAAAAAAATTAAGCTGGATCTCTATGTCCTAGTTTTTGTACATACTGAAACTGCATGCTATTTAAATTATTGTTTGTCCCTGATGTATGCAGTTTCTTAAAAAAAATCATTTAAAAAAAAAGAAGCATTCAAGTGTCTGTGTGTTTTCTCACACTGTCCCAATGACTGGCACAGCTGAAGGCAGCCGTCCCCTGCTCCCTGCATGGCAGAAGAGCTGGCCTTACCAGGGCAGGTCTGTGGGTCGTTGCAGTTGTGTTGGCTGAGCCTCTCGGTTCAGTGAAACTGGGCAAGGGACAACGATTCAACTTGGCTCCAAAGCTGTACCAACACCAGGCTAATGAAGAAAGAACAAGATCAGCAGTCTGCAGTAGACACAGATCTAAAAACATCTCAGTGTGATTAGAGGAAAATGCCTGTGAGTAGTACTAGCAAGTATTATTGCTGTTCAGCAAAGCAATACTACAGGCCCATCCCACTACATTCATCTGGCCTTTCCATCCTCTGATTTCTCTGACCCAAATTCCAGGAGTAGTTTCAATAGCTGGGAGGCATTACTTTAAATGACCAAATTCTGCTGGGAGATGTGGTTGAATAAGTTTGTTTTTTTTTAAATCGTTGTTTTTTACTAAAGATTCCCTTTCCCCAGCTACCTAGTGATTGCAAAGCAGGATCATATCATGTTTTAGTTACATACAGGAATTTCAGTGCAATATATATATATACACACACACATACATACATACATACTGGTAGGGCTGCAATGTACAAGGAATGTGAGAAGGTAAAGCCAACCTCTTGCACAGGGATCCCTACACAAGGGCTGTGTTTTTACATTTGGACTTCGGCTTTTTGTAAAACTAGCCTAAGGAAAGAGAGAAGCATGTTCAGTGAAGTCCACTCATTACCTGCAATCAAATTGCTATCTAATGCCACCTGCAGGCAGGAAACTAAGAGAAGGGTTGAAAAAAAAATCAGCTCTCTCCATCAGACACAGCCTCCAAGAACCAGCTCACCTTTATCAGCTGCTTCAAACCACTTTGAGAGATGTGCCCTCTGATGGTAGGCCCACAGAAACACCCACCAGCAAGGTGCAGCTTGCAGTCTCTCTTCTGATATGTATTGTTACTGTGACATGAACTACAATAATCGCTATTTTAGCTTCTATTTGATGAGTGTCCAAGTTTGACATACATGAATTCATCAAACCTTACTGGTGGCATCTAGAAGCTAGCTCCAAACACACACACTTAATCTGCTGTGACTGCAGCCCCAGGTGAGGAGCATTTCTACCTCTCCGAATGTGGACTACTGTGGTGATGTAAACTGGTCTCCAGGCAGTAGACAGCACCGGACAAGACACATACCCAGGCAGATTCCTTTCCCAGGTCTCCACCGACAACCTGGATTAACAATTAGCATATGAAAGAGGAGCAACTCCATTCCCCCACACTCTCTTGTTGTACCAAAAGCCTAACAGAGAGCATTTCACTGCACTGCTCAGCTAGGAAACCTTATAGAGTTTTGGACTGGCTTTTGTGAAACTCATTATTGGATACCAACTTGCCCTGTCCAGTGCAAAGTGACACAGGATAGCACAAAGAACAGTAGGGCTCTGCTTCAGCACAGGAATTTCCAGCCAGTAACAACAAACCTAAGAACCACCAGGACACTCAGGCCTGAGTGACTATCTTGTAAAGGTAACTACATTGTGAAAGCATCCCTCATGCAACTACAAGAACTCAGTTTTTACCAACTGATCTCCTACCCACAGACACCTGACGTATCACTGTTACTTTACCAACCTCTGAGTTATTATCTGACACTCAACTCCACACTCTGCTCCATTTCTTTCCATGTTTTCAAATCCATCACTAGAGTTCAAATTACTCATCATTTTGAGTACATATTAGAAATAAATTCTTTACTGTGAGGGTGGTGAGACACTGGAACAGATTGCCCAGAGACAATGTGGATATCCCTTCCCTGGAAGCATTCAAGGCCAGGCTGGATGGAGCTGTGAGCAACCTGGTCTAGTGGAAGGTGTCCCTGCCTATAGCAGGGGGTTGGAACTAGATGATCTTCCAAGTCCCTTCCAACCCAAACCATTCTATGATTCTGTGATCATTTTTAAAGCACCATCTGCCATTACTTTTCTTATCTGGAATTTCCATCAGTTATTTGGACTATCACTGAACAAGAACCGGTGTATGCAACATGGCTGAGTACAGATGTGGCATTCCTCTCAACCTCTCTGGAGGGAAGGCACTGCTTGAGAGGAGAACTGGACCAAAGCAAGGTTATTTTTCTTGTTTGCAAAGTCCACAAAGATACTTGGCATGGGAAGAAAAGGGAGGGGCTTTCACTCTCTAAAGTGCTCCAGTGTTGTTTCTATTGTCTCTGGGGAAAGAAAAAAAAAATACAGTTCTATATGGAGAAACAAGTGGCTGGTAAGCAGTTATATACTCAGCCAGTTGAGCAGAAATAACATAAATAAAGAAAAAAATAAATTTCAAGGTTCTCAGGAAAGAAGAAAAATGACTGTCAGATGACTCATCAGCACACTCCTGTACTGGATGAAAGGAAAAAACAAATTTGAAAGCTAACCCTTTTCCTTGAATTACTTAGCTAGGGATTTCAGTAGGGTGCACAACTATGTGAAACTGAAAGGAAACTGTAACAATAATAATTTGTAGTAGATAAGTGACCAAACTGGGATTGTCCACTAAAAATGTACATCTAGAAACTGCATTTATTGCAGTGCTTTTGTGCAAAAAGAGCAAACGTTAGCAGCATATCATAGAATGACAGAATGGTTTGGTTGGAAGGGACCTTAAAGACTGCTTAGTTCTAAGCCCTCAGCAGCGGGCAAGGACACCTCTCACTAGACTAACCTTTATCCAACGTGGTCTTGAACACCATCCAGGGATTGGGCACCCAACAGCTTCTCTGGGCAGCCTGTGCCAACACCTCACCTCCCTGTGAGAAACTTTTCCCCGCTTCCCAAAGGCAGACTCTGTTCTAAGCTGGGACCATAAAGACCCTTACTTTGAACTCAAATCAGAATAAATAATGTATTTGGTCATAGAAATAGTTCTGCTATTTCTTTGCATAGGATCATAGAATTGCTCAGGTTGGAAAAGATCTTAAAGATCATCTATTCCAACCACAACCTCACCATACTACCCTAACTGTAACAACCCTCCACTAAATCATGACCTGCTGCAGTCCTGTCCAACCTCAGCCACTCTGTGATTCTGTGCCAATTCTTTGCCTGTCAGAGCAGCTCCAGGGTCTACCCACTGATTGAGAAGGATTCTCTAAGTTAAAAGCAAAAAGTTTAAAAACAAAACGTTTGTAGCCTTCAGTCCAATAGTGATTGGAGGAATGAATACGCTCTGACTAGTCTGAAAGCAGGAACACTGAGTGGCACTTTTAATCTTGATTCAGGGCTTCTCTCTTCACGGAATATGAGTTATTGATTCCCTTTCAGCTCTGAAACTGCTAAACACCTTCCATGTCATCAGTGCTTGGTTTTTGTTTTTGTGTGAGTGGGGTTTTTTTTTAGTAATCTGCAGTGTAGAGGCTTGAATAATGCATACATAACTTTTTGTAAGCTGTGCATCCTAAGGGAAAAATGTTCAAATAAGCACTCTCTGACTGTACCACTGCTGATTATTTGAAAAACTTGTGCATTGAACGGTACAGAAAGAAGTGCTGTTATTCACAGAACACATACACTCTTTCTTAACCACATTATTCAGCTTTCACACCTACTCTAGAAAAACAAGCTCCTTTTTGAAGTGAGCTGAATGGATTACACTATACCACAATGCAGACACAGCAGTGGCTTTCAAAGCAGACACAAACAAGCTTTTTCTGAATGGGGCAGACCCAGGCATTTCAGGAGCATTAAGGGCAGCATTCAAAATCACACACAGATGATCTCACCAGGTTCTTTCCTATAACCTGAGCTGAGCTCCACACTTCCCCAACTAACCTGTTGGAAGGTAAACCTGACCTAGTTTAAAACAAATTTAAATGTCTGAAGCATCTGAAGTCTGCTCTGAGTGCAAACTAAATACACTCTTTGAGGAGTAGCAAATGTACTTGGCAGAGAAGCACCTCTGAATTAAATAACTAAGCAATGTATTCTTATATATGATTCTGTGGTCTGTATCAGGTGTAGAAATGTGATTTTACACTTTTATAGGATTAGTTCTCCAGCAACCTGTATCTGTGGCCAATCACTCTCTGCTTTTACCTGCATCATAAATTATATTTCTGCATCTAACTTATTTTGAAAACTAAACCAAACAAGCATAAAACAACAACAAATTCAAGCCATAACAAATAAATGCAGTAAGTATGAAATATCTATGTAGTCCCGAAGTCATGCTCAGTGGTATTTTTTATTACTCGCCTTTTATTCTGAATTATAATTACTCCTTTCACTGATTTCTTCCACACTTGCCTAAAGTTACACTTCAGTATAGGACAGATCACAGGGTAAATCAGGCTGGAAAGGACCTCTGCATGTCTCTTGTCCAACCTGCTGCTCAAAGCAAGGCCAGGTTGCTCAGGAACGTGACCAGTTAGAACTTGGAAGTCTCCCAAAAGTGGAAACTGTACAGTTTCTATGAGCTGTATCTACTGCTTGACTGTCTTCATGGGGGAAAAATCTTTTCCCTATAGCCTATCTGAAAATCCTCTGATTTCAGCTTACATCTACAGTCCCAACATTGCTGTATCACCTGATAATCAACACACACTCAGTTTGGTTTCATCTGCAAACGATAAACAGAATAAGCACTCCATCCCTTCCCCTACATCACTGATAAAGAAGCCGAAGAGGACAGGTCCCATCCCAGACACAACCTCCCTTAGAAACATTTCAAATCGTGAACCTAAATGAGATGTGGACTTGCTGGCCACATCATTTTGCCATTATAAAATGAGGAAGCTAGCAGGTTTACATGTAGCAATGTTTTCTTTTCAAATAATAATTCTTTAGTACATCTACTATGCAAATATCCAGACACTCCAAAGATGCCTCCTCCTTTGTCAAGCCCTAAGATTGCAGTATTGACTACACATTCAAGAGAAATGGAAACTCATTATTTGCAGAGTAATATTTAATTTGGCCAAATCACTGAGCATCTTTCCAGAGCATTTTTCACTGAGCACAAACAAACAAGGTACAGCCATAGTTCATTGGCAGACAGGAAGAAAAATACGTCTCACACGGTCATTGTGATGACTTTCTCTGTCTCAGTGATGCCTCTTTTGCATTTATCTGCAAGTCTATGGTATTGATAGAGTACTTTTAAATTTCCAGCAAAGGAATGTGTTTTGTTCACCGAGTTCCAGCAAAATAAAAGATACTACACGTTCACCTTAAAAACACCTCCAAGTAGTAACTAGTTCTATAATGTATAAGCTGGCATACAGAAGTATTTTCTACAAGTCAGCCTACTTACCTTGCTCCAGGAATTAGATTTACTTCCCCAGAAGCCTTAGAACACACTGTGCAATCAGAATAGTGTAGCTGGCTGGATTAAAATGCCCCAGGCATAATCATATCACCACTCAGTATTTTCACTCCATCCATATTTATTGAAAAATATTTACACATTGATCACTATGCCGTGAAATGCTTCAATAGCATCTTTGAATTGGAGAAGAAATGAAGAACATTATACCACAAAGAGGGAAGAACAGTAAGAGGAAAATTTTTAAATGCTTTTTTTTCCCAAGCTGTTGTAAGTGGGGAAAGTTCTCAGACAGAGTGTGCTGGAGTCCCACAGTGTGTGCGCCACAGATCTACAGCTTTGCTGACAATAGCATCAGTGTTATCTTGAGGAATCTACAAAAGATTAAGTTAAGATGCCTTGTCAGTGCAATTTATGTGGACTGTTTTATTTTAAATACAGATTTTGAATCTCCAATTCAAGTTTCATCTCTTTATCAAAGAGAAACTACAATCCCATCTCCCTGCATCCCTAGCATCCCTCAAATCCTACAATCACCCCCAAGTGTTAGACACAACACTTATTTACAAAACAGGAGAACTCAAGGTTCTCTTACTTTACACCCCTCATCTGTCATCAGACAGGACTTATGCTGGCCCATCCATGACCATAAACACATCCAAGCCAGCTACCCTAGGTCACGTGAGGATCACACAACCCTGCTGTCACACTCATGTCTTTCCACAAAGGGGAAGTTCAGGGGTAGCTTTAAGATCCCAATGCCAAAGCAACAAAAAGCATGCCCTGAGCCTACAGGTTCATGCCCAGAAAAGGAACAGAAGGGGTTCAAGACACCAGTCCTGGTAAGATGTTCTAGAAAAATTAATCTGACTTCATCCATGCTTATTTTCACAGGAAAAAAAAACACCTTTATTATCACAAAGAATGCTGTCAAATCTGCACAAACATAAATAACATATTACCAGAGCCTACAATCCTTTCATTCTATGGAAACCTTACCTCCAGACAGAAACTATTCCTCTCATCCCTTCTTCTGGTATGTTTAAAACAACAAATGACCGAGGCCAAAAGACATTTTTATGGGCCATGCGAGGTAACTGCACAGCACAGGGTATAATATTACATTTCACTTACATTTTCCAAAAACTGGGTGATCTTTTCTGCAGTGGCCAGTGCAATTATCTTCATTTTAAAGGTTAACAATATCTCCAAAGCAACAAAAACGAGAATTTTGCAGGATCCACTAATAACTTTGTCCCAAACCCTGGAAAAAGAAATGATAAAGGGATCACTAAGCATTACTGTAGTCCTTATCTGCTTCTGTATCTGCTAGAATAGTGTTTGTACAATTACCTTTTTCAGACTGTTTTCCTGACTAGCAATAAGTATATTGAATTATTCAGGTCACAGTCAATAGGCATTTATCAGTTCCTCAATCTGTACTGAGTGATGGCAAGCAAATGTATTAATGTGCCATGTCCTTGTTTAGAAATGGAACTGCTTACAAGCTCAAAGGCAGAAAGCAAATCATGTTTTAACAGCCTGAACTGTGACAACTATTCCATATGGTGTGCTATGGGTGAGAATTTTTCTTAGTGCAAAAAAAGGAAACAATTTGCTAGCATGCTTAATAACGAGATTCTTCAAATAGTCAGGTAACTGAACGTTCAGAAGAATGAAATTCTCAATCACTATATCTCAAGCAGCAAGGTACAGTCCATAATGTTTAATAGTTGTTCCCTGTACCAAATTTAAGTGTTGCAACTCATTCCACTGTGCAAAGACTCTCTCAGAACTACAAAGCACTCCTACTACCTGTAAGAGCCAGGCCTGGACCTCACAGTTTAAAGGAAACCAGAAAACCTTCACAGGCCTTCACAGAATGCACGTTCTTTAGCAACAGAACCTCTATAACTACTGGAAGAGATTCACAGTACTAAAACAGCCTGCAACAATTTGAAACCACCCTTCATCCAGCAACTCTATTTCAGGCCCAGCTCAACAGACATGGGATGAAAGATTATCCAAAACCGGTGTGAGACCATCTGTCAGATGGCAGCTTTAATGTTCCTGCATTATTTTCAGTTCTTCACATTTAAGAGCTGAATCAGAAAGACCTTCTGAAGATTACCTTTCTTTAATCCATCCTGGTACTTGTGACAAGTGTTTCTCCTTTCAAATAAAACCACTGGAGACAGAGATCACACACCATTCTCTATAATCTCTAAATATAGTAACTGGAAAACATCTTCTACAGCCCACCTATAAACTTGGATCTGCAGGTGTGCTTCTTCAAAAGACAATTCAATTTTGGCACGACCTTTTCTCTTGGAAGAACTTGCACTTCAACTTGGAGTGCCATGAGAACACACAGCAGGCATAACGAGCTTCAATGGCCAGATGAAAATTCCTATCACACCTTTAAGCAAAGTCCTTTTTAATTCATAACATGGAATGTTTGCTGCTGTTATACAGCATCTACTTTTCGAACTCTGACTCAAGTCACATTTTTCTCAGTTTCATCAGGGCAAGCAGAGCAAAACCACTGCATAAGCTCAAAGGAAGTTTCTTGAAAGCTTTCTACATTAGTTTTCCAAATCCACTTAATATAAATTGATGTGCAATTTTTAGCTATGGTTAAGCATAGGAGTGCACTGTAAGAGTACATACACCAAATGACAGCACCTGTCAGGAATACAGGAATGGCATTATGCACACTTCATCTCACCATTACTGGATAAAATTTCTGTACAGTGTACACAAACCTTGTAGATCTTAGAAAAAAAGATGAAATTTCAGTTTTGCTGCGTGGCAGAGAGGGCTACAACTAGACAAAGCAACCTCTCTAAGAAATACAGTATTAAATCAGAAATTAAATTAAATCATAAAACACCACACTCAAATCAGCTGTCACTTGAAAAATTAAGTAAAACTCATAGGAGAACTGGGGGAGCTGTTTGCAGTTCTCAGCAGTTCTAATACTGCCATTTGGATGCATTTCAGATAAGCATTCAGGCTTTCAGATTCTAATCCAAACTGAATCTCCAAGCATTAATTAAGTTCATCTGTCACACGCTGCCCACAAAGTATGTTATTTCCTTAGCAAATATGGCCATTTTGATTACAACTGAATAATTTAGAAATCTAAACTGGCAAAGGCAAAGTGCACATCTATCATGTTGTCATACAAATTGTTGGTAAATAGAACCGTTGTGCCACCAGAAGTTCCAATGCTCTGATTCTGTAGCTAAAGCAAGAGTGAAAGTTTTTAACCTCCATATTATAGAGCCACAACACAGAATAGACTGTTTGGAGGGCAGAGCCTGCCATGTAACAACAAGCATGCCACACACAGGGTAATGCTGAAACTGCAAACTGCAGAATAAGGACTTCTTTAACCTAGTGATGCTAAACATGCCCTAATATTTTTTTGTTCAAATAAACATTACCAAAATCTATGTCATCTGATAATGATACAGTATTACCATTGCTCCCTAAGCAAGGATTTCAGTTTAAAAGCCTGAGAGCTGACTCCTTTCAGCTATCTATCACTAATAGGGGATTAGAAGTTTTAAATCCTAGGAGGTGAGAAGTGCCTAACAGAACAAATTGCTATATTCAACTCCTTCCTTGCTAGAGGTGATCACAAACAGCTTATCTTGTATCAGTAACAAGTAGAACAAAACAAAATTGTGTCATTTCCAAGTCAGCAATAAAGCTAACTCCATAACTACACAACAGGTAAAACAACAATTTAAAATTACTATGGAATAACAAGCAGAAAAGGAAAAAAAAAAAATCTTGCCTCTGTAAACTGGACTCAGGTAAACAGCCTGCAAAACACTTCTTAAACCAAAGATCATAAGGGAGCTTGCTCATTGCAGCACATGCCTTCAGATGCATCAGAAGCCTACTGTCTTCAATGTTCAAATACTGCTCCAGAATTTTTGGCTGAGAAAGGAAGTGCAAAAGTTTAGATAATTCCCTGCTGCCCCCTCTTACAGAACATTGTAAAACAAGAAGTACCTTCAAAATCCTGTAAGCATAGACACGTTTAAGTGTTGAATTTGCATTATTTTAACTAAAAACACGGTGTTGCAAAATATAAGTATTGTTGATTTCTGAAATTAACTCGTTAAATAAACTCACTAAATAAACAGCCCCAGTCTCCTTAAATTGCTGACCACCAGCAGGACTTCAAAAATATACATGCACTCTTCCCTAATGCAGGTTTTGGAGAGCTTAAGGCAATGCAGAGATTCATGCTGCACTAATTACTGTTGTCCTCACAAGTAACACTGAGTTTCATCCACCTTGAAGCTAATTGCCTTAGCACACATCATAACAACCTACACACATTGCACCAAAAACAAGAAAATCAATTCTCAGACTAAATCCCTGCGCAATAAATAAAAAGCTGGGCATTTATTTGTTGTTTAAAAGCACAACATGTATAGAAAGGGCAACAGACGAGCACACAAATAGGCTTAAAGATGTGAATAGTTATCATTTTGCTCAAGCTCTAATGTAACACAACACATGTTTTCATAAATCCTAGAGTGTCTTTACACTTTTTGTCATAATAAGATAAGGAGTTAATATAGTTGTCAAAGAAAAAGCACTTCCTTTATCCATCAGTCTTGGTACAATGTGTACATTACAATGACAACTTAGGGATACTCCCTATGTAATTGAGGCACATAGCTTCTAGAAAAACAGTTGTGCTTTGCCTCATTATCACCCAGTATTGGGTGAGGAGTATTGGACTCTTAAGGACAAGCCAGAAAAGCAGCAGACATGAATCTAAATGTTCTTAAGTTTTTTTTACATCTTTGTTTTAAACAAAACTCCAAAGTGACTGAGAAATGTAACTCATCTAAATGCAATGTAAGCTACAGCTAAGCTTAAAAAAACTCATAATTGAGAACTACAACGTAGCAAAGAAAACCAATTTTTTTCTAATGTTACTTTAGGCAAAGTGTCCTATCAGATAATACAACCACAATTCCAAAAGCACTGCTCCTTCCTCTTAGAACTGTTGCCAGAACAGAATCCACAGGTACTGCCTCTGACACTCCAGCTGTCTCTATTCATTGTGACTACCAGAATGCTCAGAAGGCATGCTTCCCATGACTTTTTTACTTCTTTCCCTCTTACAGTTTTCCCCCCTCTCTCTCTCTCTCTCACACACACACACACAAAAGTATTTTATCCTTACTAGTTGCTGCAGTGAATCTTTGTGCTTGCTGTTAAGCTGATTCACAAAGCAACTGACAAGCCAATAGCATTCTATAGGATCCTCCACCATTTCCTCCATTGCCTTAGCAATTGCAAGAAACACTTCATCTTCTGGTTCCTGGAAAACAAAGTGAAAAAAGAACTAACTACACTGTAGAATTAGACTGCACAGCTTACATTATTTGTACATTCCTTTTCCCTGCTCTTTGCAAAAAGAGAATGGAATCTAAGTATATAAAGAGAGCTGCCAGCTGTTCCTGACATATTTATAAATAAAGCACTGGGAAACAGCTGCATTATGGTGACAGATATCTAATAAAGAAGAACAAATAAGATTTGTCTTGTTTTTAAAACAAACCATACAACAGGAGTTTGGATCAACTCTGATTCAAAGTCCCCAAATGTTCTCAAATGAGAATTCATCTCCTGATGGCACTGCAATATTCCTATTTCTATAACCCACATTTTAAACCAGCAGAATTTTTTTTCTTTTCCCTTGCCAAACAGGCCACTCAAACACCATTGTAATGGATATTAATCACAGAAGAAAAGAAAGCAGCCATGAGCTATATCCCTACCTTCATCTTATTTGATTTGAGATAAAACACCTTTCCAGAGACAAATAAGCAACTTTTCCAGATGATGAGACTCTTACTCCCCACAATAAAAGTCTAGAAGTGTGTGATTGGCACACTATTTCATTTTCTCCAGAAGAAAAGATCCTTGGTATAAGAAGTATCAGTATGCCTAAAACACAGTTCTAAGTGTAACTGCACACAGGATAGAGCTAACTATTCTATAGATACACCCTATTCCATAGATGAAGAGTAATAAAGCTGGGCTCAAGTGAGCATGGAAAGTGAACATAAAATATAAGGTAATGTCTGCTTCAGAAAGTTCATGGTTCCTTTCATCACCTCTTCTTTTACAGAGGCTTATATATGAAGCCCACACACTTCTCATCATCACACTACAGGCACGGTTGGACTAGATGATCTTATAGGTCCTTTCCAACCTTGTGATTTTTTGATTCTATGGCTTAAATGCTATTAGAATGGAAACTTACCAAAGGATAAGCCAAGTTTCGAGGCAACTTGCCTGATTCCAGTTGATGTATGCGGAGGAAAACATCTACCTGTGGGGTAGAGTCATTGATAAAACGAATTACATGAAGAGCATGGTGGATATCCCAGTACTGCTCCTTCCGGTAGTTCATCACCAAAGCATGAGATTTATGGTGAGGAGGAATAATTCCTAAAAAAAAAAATAATAATAATAATAATAAAGCTTCCATAAAGAGAAAAAACATCAAAACTCTCTTTCCAAGAGATCTGCCTCACTTCAATTCCTACTAACACTCTAGCCTATGGAAATGTAGGACCTGGCAGAGAATATACATACAATTAACTAATGCAAAGATGCCATACATTACAGTTTTATTACTTAATTTGATGTTAGATCTGTGCTGGAAACACCTTTGCACACCATATTATAGAAATTAATCCTCTCTAAAATCACACCTAGAAGCAAAATTAACTACGTCGTTGAACCAACTTCAGGTTAGAATTTAAGAACACCATCCGAGCACCTTTTGATGTAGGGCTTTTGACTTTCTCAGCACAACATAAATAGCTTTCTAGATGGAGAAAATAGATACGTATATATCCAAGTAGAGAAGCAGAGAAAACAAAACTGTTTCTGACATCCAGAAGAAATGCTCAGCATTTCATTGTTTCCTTCTCCATCCCTGGAGGCATTCAAGGCCAGGCTGGATGTGGCTCTGGGCAGCCTGGTCTGCAGGTTGGCAACCCTACACATAGCTGGGGGGTTGAAACTAGGTGATCACTGTGATCCTTTTCAACCCAGGCCATTCTGCGATTCTGTGATTCTAACTCAAGGCTGAATCTTGCAGTGCTCACAACACAGCTGTCACTGGTTACAGTAGAAAGAAGATCTGAGAAACATCAAAACGAAAAAACACCATTTTCATATCACCAATGGAGCAGAATTCTTCCTGTTGTAGAAACCCATGAGAACAAGACATTCTTCAAAACTCAGTCTTAAAGCAGGCTACCTCCTGCTTTCATATTTCATTTAAACGGAAAGGGGGGGGAGGGGAATTGCTGTCAAAGTGTTAAACCATGACATGTTTGAGGTTTAGTACCAAGCACTACAGACAGTAACTTATCTTTTATTTCCCAACTGCAAACTTATTTGCACTGAAAAAGCTGGGATGGAGCAAGACATTTTTATGTGATCCAAAAGCAGTTAACATCTGTGTTATGTTACACACTGCCAACTGCTTTTCTTAAACAGAGAAGACTCCTTTTGGCAGACGGAAAAGAATCTTAACACTGGCATGTCTAGAAACTATTTCAGCCTCAACACCATCCTGAGTCACACCTGAACGAGAGGTCAACAGAGACAACTCTGACATACCACGTCACCTGGGACAACATCAAGGTATACTAAGTGAACCATTAATATGAAGGCACGATTCCTGCAGGAAATTGGAGAAGGTGGAGGAGAAAGCCATTTTAAAAGATTGTTTAAAATTCAGATAAAGCTTCCTCATACATTATTTCCAGCTCCACGTGTAGTGGCACGTGGACACCAAGAACAAAATGAAGACATACTCAAGCTTTTCAACAGTGGCGTGATGCTCAACCACCAATAATGCAGTAGATCACATTTCTCTTCCAAAGATTCAGTCATGCACCCTATTTCACACTCAATTTGGCAGTGTTTCTTACATTCCCTCTAAGGGAATGTACCCCCTCTTACATCCCTCTAAGGGAACCTCTCCTGATACCTTTTGTGAGTCAGAACTCCAGGACCCTCCACAATCTGCCCTGTCTCCAAGTGTCACGGTCTCAAATCCAGTAAATCCAACACACTTGACCACTTAGTGAAAAGTCATTAGCCCCTTGCAACTGATCATATGATTAACGAACTCCGAGGAGAACAGAATCTCTGCATGTTTCATGTCTTGTTTTGCATGGTTTCTGGGCTATATACTTTCTCTGGCCTCATATCTTCTTAGACAGATAATATCATTTCAAGCCAGAAACAAAAACAGAAGTAATCTTCAAACCAAGATCTGACAGAACACAACTTCTCCAAAACATAAACATACATTTGCATAGCTTGCCAAGCTTTTTAAGCTTAATCACTGCTTTACTCTGTTGCCTTTTATTTTACAAACAGATCTGAAAACCCTATCAGGTATCAGTGATTGACAAATCACCTTTTAAATCCATCTCATATATTTACTTGGGTAGCGTTACAGACTAAAATACACTCTTCTGTGTGTACTTCTGCAAAAGTTCTCAAAAAGTACACATGCAATACTTTTATAATTGCTACTGTGCATCCTCAGTGAATATAAAAGTAGGCTACATATGTATCAGTAGAAAACAGTACAGAATCCATGCTATTAAGTAGGATTAGAGGGGGGCATTGTACATACTCATTTCTATAGAGAATCACAGATGTTGTTTCATACCTAGAAGAACCTTCCACACCAGTATACGATACATGGATGGGAGAGGGAACCTCTGACTGAAGGTGCAAAGCTTCTCAATATCTGTAGAGAAATAGAAATTTAAGATAAAAAAGTTTTAATAGAATAACAGTTTTGAGTCTCTGCTTATCTAAATATGACAAATACTTAGTTGCAGATCAAAATCCACACTTACACGATATATTATTAACAAATGCTTTCACTTGTTCAGTTGAGAATAGAACTGTCTAATAAACTGCAACAGTATTTCCTCTGAAAAAAAATCATAGAATCACAGAATGGCCTGGGTTGAAAAGGACCACAACGATCATCGAGTTCCAACCCCCCTGCTATGTGCAGGGTTGCCAACCTGCAGACCAGGCTGCCCAGAGCCACATCCAGCCTGGCCTTGAATGCCTCCAGGGATGGGGCATCCACAGCCTCCTTGGGCAACCCACATTGACTTGATTTACAATACAACTAAAGCTACCCTACGTCAGACCAGGAAGAAACTACCATTTTTATAAGCATTTTGTAAACTGTGTTGCTATCTCAAAGCAATTAGGGACTTTGCTAAAGGGACATCTATCTTTCCATCCTATTAAAGATATGGCATTCAGAAAAGACAAGTATCAATAACAAAACCATCACTGTTACAAGGTTAGATGGAATTAAGAGCAGGAGACAATATATTTTCAGATGGAAACTGTTTTCATTTAAAAAAAAAAACACCAAAAAACTTTAAGCTTCTTGACCACAGAGAATGAGAGAATAAAAAAAAAAAAAAAAAACCCACCAAGCATGCAGATGTTTAATATTCTTTAAAAATCAGGTTCTCAAATCCCTGAAACTCAAGGGACTGCTTGTACTGAGAGATGAAAGGGAAAGGATGGAAAAAAAGAATCCTTGGTAAGGGATGTAAAACTCTAACATGCACTAAGTGCAGCAGCAATACACCTTGTATGACTCCCTCCCCATCCAGATGCCCAATCACCAAAGTAATAGAGGAAACACTGAAATCAACTTGCCCAATCTGTCATCTTTTAACAAAATTTCCAGTGACTTCTTTTCTTCAACTCCACGAAAGCCCACTTTTTCATAATAGACCGAGCGGAAGTTTCTTTGAGAGTCATCGGCCATGGCTGATTCCTTTTGGAGAAAAGCAGTAATTCAATTTATGAGTTGCAAAATCTAGGGTACAGAAACCCAAACTGCATACAGCTGTTATGTGAGAAGTTACAAAACCATCAGGTTCCATACTCACCAGACGAGGCAAGCAGAGACAAGGGCCAACTGGCTTTGGGCTCAGTAGCACAGAGGTGACAGGAAAGAACAAGGCAACGTACCGAGCTCTCTTCTTAAGTTGCAGATCTGGATTAAACGTTCACGTCGCTATCAGACACGGGCACAGTTTTGAGTTTATCCTTCCAGTACTAGAGAGGCACAACCTTCTCATCCCTATACTGGAAACAATAGCAAATTGCTATAGTGAGCACCACGTCTTTCCTTACGTTTCACCTTTTAAATATCAATTCTCAGTTCTCCTTTGCAGGCTTGCATAGATAACAAAGCTCTAATTTTTAACCCAAAGGGTGACAAAGGACCTGAACCTCTAAGCACAGCGATGGCAGCAGCGCTGGCAGGCAATCTGGAGGAGCAGCCAAGTTATGATTTGCAGGACTCCTTCAGTCAAACCAACCTGCTCCTCCACACACCGAAACGCACGAGAGCAGCGAGGCATCTGCAGACATCAACAAAGACCACGTTTTGCCAACGAATCATCACGTCCACTAGGCCTAGTGGCTGTGGGGTTGTTGTTTTTTTTTGTTATTGGTGGTGGTGGCTTTGTTTTGTTTTCAAATTAAATCCTTTTTCAGTGCTTTGTAGGATCAAACCCAGACCGGCCAGAAACCATACAGCACAATGCTTTTCGGCAGTGCAGAGCCGAAGCCGGCCGTCCCCCCGTGCCCGCACAGACAGGGTCACGCTGGGGAGCACGTAGGCTCAGCACAATGGAGGCGCGGCTCACGGAAGCCGAGCTGAGGCCGAGAGCCCGGCGAACGGAAGACGGACCCGAGCGCGGCCAACGGCTGAACCCACCCACCGCCCCGCGGCACCTACTGTAGCAAGACGGGCTCCTCACGGCGCATGCGCAGGCACCGCCCGCTCAGAGGGGCGGGTTGGCGCCACAGGGATGGAGGCGGGGCTGCCGCTTCTGGCGTCTGCGTCCTCGCTCCTCAGCGCCGCCTCCCTGGGCGGCCCGTTGCGGCGCCTCGCGGCTCTTTATGAGAAGAATTTTTTTTCCTGATACCCATCCTGTGCCTCCCCTGGCACAACCTGGGGCTGTTCGTGTCGTCCCGTCGCTGCTAGCAAGGCGGTTGTGCTCAGTGAAGTGCTTCTCGCGCAGCGGCAGGTGGCAGCCTGGTGCCATCTGTGTGGGTTTGCGATTTTTTTTTTGGCCTTCCATCGCTAGATGGCTCTTTGGAGCTATTGGAGGCTGACTCGTGTCACGAGAATACTGATAAGCAGTCATAGAATCACCAAGGTTGGAAACAGTCCTCCAGGATCATCCAGTCCGACCGCCCATTTGTCACCAGTATTTCCCACTGACCCATGACCCAGCATCCCGTCACTGTGTGTAGATTGCTACGAAATAGTTTAATCCAAGGCTTTCAAAACACAAATGAAATTAAAGCTTGGCATGAATTGCTAATGGTTATTATTATGTGGATGATTATTATTCATCGTTTAATGAAAAAAATGATGGCTAAGCTTCTATTATTATTGTTTTAAGACAGCTCTATAAAGACTTGGACCTTCTTATTTTAACAGGCTTACTTCTTTGTAACTTCTACATACACCTGCACTGAAAATGGCTAATTGGCTCTATATGCTGTGAATCACTGTTGCCAAGCACATGGGTGATGACGTGACATAGAATCATAGAATGGCCTGGGTTGAAAAGGATCACGATGATCATCTAGTTCCAACCCCCTGCTACGTGCAGGGTCGCCAACCACCAGACCAGGCTGCCCAGAGCCACATCCAGCCTGGCCTTGAATGCCTGCAGGGATGGGGCATCCACAACCTCCTTGGGCAACCTGTTCCAGTGCTTCACCACCCTCTGTGTGAAAAGCTTCCTCCTAATATCCAACCTAAATCTCCCCTGTCTTAGTTTAAAACCATTCCCCCTTGTCCTATCACTATCAACCCATGTAAACAGCCATTCCCCCTCCTGTTTATACGCTCCCTTCAAGTACTGGAAGGCCACACTGAGGTCTCCCCTTCTCTTCTCCAAGCTAAACAAGCCCAGTTCCCTCAACCTTTCTTCATAGGAGAGGTGCTCCAGCCCTCTGATCATCTAAATGGCCCTCCTCTGGACCCGCTCTTTCATGACCCAAACAAATGATCTTTTTGCCCTTTGGCTAGAGATATTAAATATCTTCATTCCTATCAATGGAATCTATTTGTTGCCATTGTAAATGAAAGCAGAATCTCATCACAAATAGCTGCAGGTGTCAACCAGCTGAGTGGAAGAAAAATCAGTTGACTGATGTATCATACCTTCCTAGGCATCTCTCCAAACCATGGTAGCATAGATGCTGAATTTTTGGAGTGCAATAACATAAGGTAGTACACGTGAAAGATAAAAGTAGTACAGTTTTGGAATTGGCTTGGAATTATTGCAGATAGCAAAACAAGAATAATTATTATCCTGCTAACGTAGTGCATGTCTCACTTTTATCTGTTCCTTTGGGTGGTAATGTGCTTATTTTATAGTGATGTATCTGTATTGCAAAGTGAGTTAATCACTGGCATACAAAGTCACATGAGAGAGAAGACAAATGGACATTGCTAATACTTTTGTGCCTTTTTTTCGTTCAAAATATGAACTGTATTGTGCCCATGGTTCTTGAAAATCAATGCTTTTGCTATTAAAGCTGGAATAATCACATAGGAGTGGTATGCTTCTGAATATTGCAACTCTTAGGAAGTGTACCAGGCTTTGTTCTCTCATGTATGAGTGATCTATCAGTGGAATTACAATAATCACTGGAAGCATACCTTCTGTGAATTTATCAGAAGAAGATGAAAATGCAAAGGAATGGAACATTGATTTTACTCAGCACAGAGGTCCACATTTGTATGGTGTTACAATGCATGTTGTTACCTACAAAAAATAAAAACTGCTTTTAGGTGGGCTTCACTTGCTCTGAACCCATTGAAGATGCATTTCTTTTTCTTTTTTTTTTTCTTTTTTTTCTTTTTTTTCTTCTTTTTTTTTCTTTGTAGTACTCTTGCCTGAGAATATCTTCACTGGGTAAGAAAAGCAGTGTATACTTTCAGCCTTCTGAAGCACCACAGCATGTTCCTATTGCAGCAGGAGGTGATTAATGTTTTAGAAAGGAGTTATAAGTTTGTAATCTCAGCTTTCCTAAGATAGGATTTCTAAGATGCTCCTGTTTCTTCAGAATCATGAACAGTTGGTGAGTAGGGCTGTGTTAATGGAGTAGAGCTGTGCTAATGGAAAAGACAATTTACTTATACATTCACATCACTTTTTTATCATGAACATCAACAGATCAAGAAAAGTTTGGCCCCATTTCCTAGCCAAAACAACACCATTCTTCTGTTTACATTCTACCTGACAGAAGAATGCATGTCAGACCTATAAATGTTCCCAATTTAATCTCTTGTTGAAGTGAGACAGAACAAAACAACAGCACTCTAGGGTAATAAAAATATCATAAAACTCTTTGACAGCAAAAGGGAGTTTAGCCTTTCATTTCAGCATGGCAGCACAATAACCAGGCCTGTCTCCAAGCAGGCCAAACTCTGACTCTGTAATCATGATTTCATATCCTCGAATGGCAGCAAGGAAAAGGCCCACGGGGCTGAAAACACCGTGATGAATGGCTGAACTTGGGATACTGAGTGCACATATGTCCTACTTCTCTGTTTTCCCATTTCTCATAGAGAACGAGAGCATTTCAGAGGTGACATGTTTTTGTCTGCAGACACATAAGGAAAGTGCAAGACAATTGCTGAGAAAGTAGTAAAATGCAGTTGCTTGCTCCAGTAGTAAATGAATTTATTTAAGACTGTGTTATGATTTTTTAGGATGTCTTCTGGATTCCAGACATAACTTGGATTTGTTACTTAACATCAGATACACAATTGTGCACGCCCCAATTCTTCTTCTACCAGTCTGACTGGTAGCTGAGTTAAAAGGACAGAATTGATGTTTTTGACTGAAAATGTTGTGTTTTTAAATAGCACCAAAAACATGCTTTATAGTGTCAGCATGCATGGCACATTTGGGTCTCCATGTGATAATAGTTTCAAAGCATCTTTCTTCTGCTTTGTAGCTCTTTAATTGGGATGTGACAATGAGATGACAGGGGGAAAAGTGTTGGTCAGTTTAGACAGATGTTGGGAAAGTGATAGGCCTTGAGAATCATAATGAAGAGGTCATGCATATGGATCAGGTATTTGATTTTACTATGTATGACTAGAGATGGAACAAATCCTGTTGCCATATTGCGAGTATCTGCCCATGGCTCGACAGGGAGAACCTAAACCAGTGACTTCTCTGGATCGCTAATGAGGGGCGAAAGGCTCAGATCTCACCAAAGCCATGCAGCACAGCCTGCAGTTGTACCCCCAAAGAATAATTTGTCATATAATTGCCTCCTTTCAAAACGACTGCCTAACAAGGGGGGGTGAGCCTTGTGCACAAGCCGGCTTTTGATCTCGGTGGAGCTCAGGGGGCTTTGTTAGCGCATTCGTTTAAAGGATTGAGCAGCAACTAATTAATTACTCTAAATTATATCAGTCATGGTTTCCAGGCTTGTTTTAATGCATGAAGACAAGCTGTTGAGCTGGAACGTCTGACTGATGTTTGCTTTGTGATAGGACAAAGTCGTCTCCACCTCTCTCCTGATCATGGTTTTCTATACTGGCCATCTAGGCCCATGTTCCCATAGTCATTAAAAGTACTGCCAATGTCCCGCTGCCTGCTTGTTGTCCTACAGAATAATGGAAAGCTGTAAAAACACAGAGCAATTTACTCCGTAATTCCCAAATTGCAGTAAGATGATTGCCATCTGCCTCTCCAGGTGATGATTTGCTGCTGTTAGCACTGAGAAGTTGCCATCAGGAAATAAAAGGAATTTTCTGTAAAGGTTCTTTTTTACAAGAAATCTTTGCCAAACTATGCAGTGTGAACTGCAGGGTGCAGGCAAACACACTCTTCTAACACCCTTCCTTGCAATGTACAGCAGAACTGTGGAGTGACTTGGACTGTTCCAAGCCAATTGATTATTTTAGTGATTTCCTGATGAGCACATAGATTGCTGCTAATTTTATAAGCATGGTTTTAAAATCAATGCTTGGAGAGTGCAGTGTCTCTCACTTTCCCCTCCATAGATAAGGTTAGATAAAATGTGTTCACTTAAATAAAGCTGTTGGCATTGGCTTTGGTGTTGCTGGCGCTTTCCTAAACTGGTGAATTTGAACTTAGGCTGTGCTGACAACACTAGCTTAGTTGGCATTCACAAATGGCAGCAGCTTATTAGACATTAATTATATATGACTAATTATATTAATTACAATGAATGAGATTGTATTAGGCTTAAGAACTATTTAAATTGAACTAGAAATTAAAGCAGCAGGATTTAATATCTGGATGTCATGGATGTACTCTGTGTGGCCTTGAACAACATGGCGTTTTGGTTTTCCAAAAGACAAGGTGAAGATAATGAGTGGTACGTGCCTCCTTTGTAAAGCCACTGAGCTCCTGCCATAAAAACAAAGATCACTCTATGTGTTTTAAAACTGCACACTGCAATTTCAGTTCTTCCAGTTTTAAGATCTTTTTTTTTTGATGCTGTACAGTTCAGATCAGTCAGTCCATAGAAGGAGAAAATCCTACCCAAACTGCCTTTTTAATGTGTTTTTAAAATATTATCATGTGCAAGAGTATTTCTAAGCAGGCAGGAATTTCATACAGACCTAAAGTTGTACCCTGTCTAGAATGAAAATTTCAATCCTGGGCATTTGGAAGGTCCTTTGGCAGTTATGTTTCAGTAGATGGGGGAGGGAACTTCTAATTCAGAAGAAAACAACACCAGGTAATTGAGAGAAAAGCAACATTCATCAGAGAATGAGCTCACCAACTTCTCCTCTGCCTCTGCCTTGCCAGCTGCCAAACTGAGATGATCACACAGCTCATTCTGCGGGGACTTGTTCGTGTTTACAAGGCACTTCAAACGCGTGAAGCAGTACAGACATTTGCCAAATGTGGGTGGATAGCTCTGTCTAATCAGCAAGTGACTCAGTCCTTTCTCCACGGAGGCCCTGTTCCTCCTGTAGTGCTAACAGAAATTATTCCTAGCCAGAAGTTTCTGAAGCCAGAAGGGCAGGGTGTCCTGCTGCAACTTGATTCTGTTGTTTTGAAACTGCAAGCAAAAGGCTCAGAAAAGTGAATGGTAGAATAGTCCGTTTCAATCAAATTGCATTGTGCACAGCTTATACCTGTATTGCCTCGCTCTGGGACAGAGAGGGACTCATTTTTTTAACACAGTAGTTTAGTAATACCAGCATCCACCAATTCTACCAACTCTAAACTACATCTACAGCAGCAGATGAAGTGCCTGGGACCACCACTCTCTTGGCACCAACATCAATTGGGCAGATGACCAACGACCCTGTTATTAACTTCATCACCTCCAAAAGGGGGTGGTTATAAGCAACTTGCTTAGTGGGAATAGTCTGTGCTGTGTGCTAACTTCAGACTGTGCCGCAGGAAGGATACAGAAGAATACAAGTTGATCTTAGCCAAAAATCACGCTTGGAATGTTTCTAAGAATTTCACAGAATAGAGAATGGGTCATTAGCACCCAGGAACGTTCTTGTTCCCTGCATTTCTTGTGAATCTGCTTTTTGTCTTGGTCTCGTCTTCTGCTCTCTGATTACCTTCCTTCACGGTCTGGAGAGCCTGGAACAGTTTGAAGTGTAAACCCTTTTTTTGCCACAGACAGAAACAGCACCACTGAAATGTTAAAAAATAAAATCTAGTTGTGTAGAGACAGCAGTGGGATAAAAGGCCACCAAACAAAATGTAGTGTGCTACAAGTTGACCTCAATTTTCAGCTATCTCTGTATTTTTGAGGGCTGAAATGTAGGATTGAGCTTTTTCAGGTTTCACTGTGCAAAATGTATTTGTGCAGGCCACAAAGCCGGTTGCATTGAGAGGCAGTCATCATTGCCTGGATGTGACATGGTAATTTCTGCAAAAGCCTTTAGTCTGCAAGATGTGATTAGCTGCAAAAGGCAGAGTTAATAAAACAGATTGGAGCAGGCACTGAAAGGTCTCTAACACTGTGCATACACCACTCCTGCAGCACGAGTTACTGTGCATCGATGTCTGGAGGAAGGGGCCTCCACTCTCCTACAAAACCTTTGCTTACATGTACATCCTTTCTTGTGGAAATACAAAGCTTAAAACTGTTGTCCATTCATTCCATTTTTTTTGGACTTGTTTATTATTCTACAGTTAGTACACTCAATCTTTGATCCAATGGGGGGGAAAAAAGCACATTTCTGGCACTCAAGCAACCTGGTTTCTATTTGCATTCTGCTATTAAAGCAATCTGGCATAAATTGCTGTCGACAATGGATCAGATGTGGGAGCAGATCTGCCTAAAAACAAATCCAGCAAAAAGCCGCATTTTTGGTTTCCAGCTAAATGAAGCCACATGAAGCATATGGCTGCACACACGCTCCCTGCTGCCAGCGCCCGCGGATGACAGGAACGGAGCTGGGGGCAGGAGTGAGGGTTGCTGCTCTCCATCTGCCAGCAGCCCAGCCTCGTCCTGCGGGCCCTGCTCACGGAGCTGTAGCTGCAAGGAAATGACCGCAGTCGTTCATTTGAAGGCAAAGGTGGGGTGCCACACCAAGGTTTGTGGTGCTGAATTCATTAGACGGAGCATTCTCAAGGGGAAAACGTATTACAAGTTGTGATGTATGCAGGAGACAAGTAATAGCTAGTACTAGTGTGCCTCCCAAGGGCATCTTCTAGAGGCTGCGTGATGGAGATTGCTTCCATCCACAGCGAGCGCGACAACAGCACCAGCAGCCAGCACAGGCACAGGTTCTTTGGGTGCTGCTGGGCTGTGGCAGCCATTCCCCAGGCTGCAGGAGGCAGGACTGTGCTGTCTGGCCTGTAAGGCACTCTGGAGTATTACCTGAACAGAAAATGCACCATTATCCTGTCTGCTACGTATGCTGGCACAGAAATGCAGCTATTGCACTGGTGCATTACAAAGCGCTCCACAGCTACCTGACAGGAATTAGCAATGAAGGCATTTGGTGCCGCTGCTCTTTGGCACAGCAGCACTTTTCCTCGGCAAATTCTTCAATCCCAAGGAGAACAATGCAGTGCATTTAACATACCTCTGCTTAATATTTATGGCTACGAGCCTTCCATTGTTTTTCCTGCATGGCTGTTAATCAGCAGAGGCTCCAGAGAACAGCAGAACAAGCCAGTGGGACCTCAGAAGCCTTGCAAAGCTATGGAAAATGGGAAGGGGTTTCCCCCCTCACCTCCATTTTCACATTACCTACATTTAATAGCAGAACTCTTACTTTGCTTCATAAATCTACACCTCGGTGTCTCACTACACTGACCCACATTTGAAAAAGTTTACCTTAGCATTTCTATAGCCTCATTAGCGTGGTATTTTTATACCCACTGCTGCATTTGCACTTACCTGTATAGTTAAGTACTGTGTGCTGGATTCCACTGTATCTCTGAAGCGTCCTTTCATAGGAATTGTTCCCGTAGGTGCTGTTTTCCAAAGATTTCTATGTCTTAACCTTTGAAATGAAAGCAGTCTTGGTTTTACTGTTAAGAATATGTCATAAAGTTTGACCCTGTTTTATTTCAGAGGTTAATTGATCAGTTGGGGCACTGGTCTGGAAGCCTGACTGAGCTGCATTTGCCTGGGCACCAATTCTCCCTCGCTTTGCATACTTCTATTCAGTCTAAGAAAACAATGTGTATTAAAACAGAGCAAAGTGCATTTTATGTGCATATAAACATTGATACATCTTTAAAGTAATATAGGTGCAATGGTAGTAGTGGAAATGAGTACTACGCTGCAGTTCTGTGTTGAAGTAAAAGCTATAAGCACTGTGTAGATTTTTGTATATTACAGAAATTTGCAGTTCACTACACCATGTGATCTGAGGGAGGTGTGCATTGTCAATGGCTGTGATTTCCCATTCATGCACAGCCTGCTGCCTCAGCCTCGCTGCACGTTCTTGGTGCCTGAGAAATGGGTGAGTACTGACATGAGCAGATCTACCATCTTCCTGAGTGCTCTGCTGCAAGATCGACAAAGCAGCACAGACAATGCTCTGGCCTTTTTGCAACATCTTAAAAGCAATAAGTCTTTCTTTAGAGCCCAGGATTTCCCACTGCTTCTTATTATCATAGAATCATAGAATGGCCTGGGTTGAAAAGGACCACAACAATCATCTAGTTTCAACCCCCTGCTATGTGCAGGGTTGCCAATCACCAGCAGACCAGGCTGCCCGGAGCCACATCCAGCCTGGCCTTGAATGCCTGCAGGGATGGGGCATCCACAACCTCCTTGGGCAACCTGTTCCAGTGTGTCACCATCCTCAGAGTGAAAAACTCCCTCATAATATCTAACCTAAACCTCCCCTGTCTTAGTTTAAAACCAGTCCCCCTTGTCCTATCTCCTGTTTCGCACTTGATGAGGTGTAACAGAGGTGTTACAAGGGACAAGATGAGGGCTGGGCAGATGTAGGTCACTGGAAGGAGCTGAGGATGAGGATGAGGAAGGAAAGGCATCCCAGGACATGGGGATGGGAGGAAGGCCTGAAGGGGTCTCCAGGCTGTGCCCAGGACAGGCATCCTATGTCCTCATTTTCTCTGCTGCCAGCCATGCTGCCTTTGGTGGCACCCTTTGGCAATAAAACCAGCTGTCACCCTGAGACACATGGCTTGGCAGGCATTAGCTCAGGCCTGGCAGCAGCATTAAAACTTCAGACAGGCCAGTGCTAAACCTTCCTTCCCTCTCTTCTTCCACCAGAATCCCCACCCCAAGTACAATGCCTGGGTGTTTTACTCACATATGCTGAACCTACAGACTGACCAGGAAACACAGGTGAAAGTGAGGGCAATTACCCCACTCCCTGAATACATGGGAAAAAATGACAGACAGTTGGGATCACATCCTTTTATGTCTTTATTTGCCAGTTAAGATCCTTTTATTCCATCGATGCAAATATGCAGAACAACAGGAAACCGTGATTTAAGCAGCACATACCAGTTGGCCGAGAATAAACTAACTACATTCCCCAAGCAATGTAAAAGTAACAATGCACATCATCTTCCAGAAGAAGAAACAAACAGATATTGCAGCCGAGAGGCACAGCAGGCAGCTTCCGTACAAAGTAGTTTGGCTGTTTAAAATGCTGGAACCGGCCCTCACCATCCCTCCAACCCCACCCCCCTACCCCAAAAAGTCCTACTATAATTTAAACACTTTTTTTGTTGCTTTTTTTCTTTTTCTTTTTTTGCTATCTACATAATATATAAAATATAAACTCTGTTTACTTATAACACTTACTTTTCTTGATAAATAGCTCTTTAAAATATCTACTGTACATATGTCCATGCGTTGACATTTTATATATATATATATAGCATTTATATATATGTATGTATGTCTGAAAAACAATAAATATATACTTAATATTGACACAGCAACAAACTGAACATATTCTCATTTTCAAAATCAAATAAAACCAGTACAGAGAGAAACAGTGAGTGTCATTTGTGTAGCACAGCACAGCAGGGAGCTTGGATTCCTGCCCTAGCAGGGGGATCAGGTATGCCATGTACTTGAGTGGTTGTGTTGTTAACACTTTCTTTAATGGATTTGTCTCCAAAGTTACTTCAAGTCATACATTAGCCACCCTGTATGCCACGTGGAACACAGACTGGAAGCAAACTTGGGGAAATGGGGAGACCCGCCTCTTGACTCGCAATGGAATGAAAGAAGGGGAGGTAAGCGAGTCTGACGGATGGTGTAAAAAGAAAAGAGAGCAATGGATGGCTGCAAGGTCATAAATAACCACAGTAAACACGTTAATAGATTTAAGTGCTTTTAGAGACGATGGCTGGCACTGCTGCAAACAGTATTTTGATTATCTACAGCCAACACTGTGTAATGAACCAGTTTTCCCTTTGCCGCAAGAAAATACAAATGAAACCCACATGGCCAAATTCAAATGCTGGAAGGGAGTCACTGCATGACACTGCAAGGGTGCAGGTTCAGAGGTGGACCTGCCCAAAGGCAGTGGTATCCACCAAACAGGCATGTTTTTTTTTTTAAGTGTGAACCTAAAATAAGAAAAAAACACAACCCCAAACTGTTAATTTCACAAACGCCAAAACATAATAAAAGGGATTTTTTAAAAACTTCATTTCAAAACAGCATTCTTTAGAAATGGAACTTAATCCCAAAAGTAAAATTTAAAAAAAATAAAATAAAATAGACCTTCTGCATGTGTTGTGTTCAGTTTTGGATTGACTACAGCTATTTTGTTTGTTCATTTCACAGAAAATGATGAATAAAAGCTATTTCAGTTTGACCCACGCTGATACCCATCACTCTCGAACCCCACTGCTTTGATTTGGCAGCTCTGAAAAAACCATTACTTGCCTGGGCTCTGGCTTCATACACTCAGTAAGCCATGAGGTTATGACACTGATTCATGAACACAGCTTTATGTATTGTCCTGTCTACTGAAAATTTCTTCTTTTCATGAGCAAATGGAAGTGGGCGGTTATTGTGAAGGGGAAGTTGTTTTTACTGGACATACTCCATCCAGCAGCTCAAGAGAGAGTGGAAATTTTAAAGCAGATACAACTGCCAATGATCATTCAGTCATACGTCATCTCTAAAACTTACAAGCTTTGCTCCCCACAATTAACAACTTCAATAAAAAGAAGTTGCTATCCTGAACAATCCTGCCATTTCACAACCAGTCCTAAATACCCAGAGAGTGCTGCAGAGGTCAAACAGCCCAGTGCTGTGCTTTGTATGTACTCAAGGGTACATCACTGGGCCACTGGACCAAAAGCCAACGTGTGAAGTATCTGCACAAAGCCAAACTTCTGCTGGGTGCATTTAGACCTTTGTAAATACACAACAGTGAAGAGATTTCACAATTTGTGATACTTTATACTGAAGGAAAGAGAACAAAGTCAAATTTAAACATTCCCAGAAACAAAAAACTGTCATCAGTAATTTCTGAATCTCTGCAAGGACACCATCAAGCTACTACATTTATCTTTACCCATGAAATAAAATCAGCTTCTTTTTTTTTTTTTTTTTTTGGTAGAGAATCGTTTTGATTTGTCTGGGTCTTTTCCACTTTTGTATGCACGCGGAAATAAACAAGGTAACAGAAATTGAATTGTCTTTGTGCTGCGATTGCACACAGCAGGAAGGTCTCCTTCTTTGAACGGCTGAACTGCCAGGACAGCTGCTCACCTTCACAATCATCACGATTCCAAAGCTATTCAAAAGAAGGAAACACGAAGTACAAAGTGGAGAGTGCCTCTGATTGCCCCGTGCTGGCTGGGCAGGAATTTCTCATGCTTTCAGCCAATGCCAAGGATGAACTCTGCAAAAGTCCATCCTGAGCCTAAACTTGTCTACGCAAGCCCTGATTCTCTGCCTTATTGGCTGCATGGGTAAGGACATACCATCTCTACTCAGTATTTTTTATCTACACAGCTAAAGTACTACTAATTTAACACATGCACAATATTAGATATAGGAAAACCCAAAGCTCTTGCAGAGGTCTTACACCTCCATGCAGGACTTCACTGAGGTCAGCACTGAGGCTGTGCACGCATCTAGCAGGCGCACAGGGACACAGGGAAGGGTTGCCTTGCTACCCCTGGTGTGGAGCCCAATCTGATTCCCATTGAAAACAATCTTTCAGCTGACCATCCCAGCACTGGAGGAGGCTCCTACAAAGCAGAAGAGCACTTCACCCTGGATGCCCCCTTTGGCTCTTTTCGTCTTTGGCAACAGACCATAATGTTCAGTATCCTATGTGCACAGGTAGATGGCAAATGAAAGAGCCTCTCAACAGCAGCCCTGGGAAAAAGGAATTAATATTTATCATCTAGTGTATGAAAAAGCTCATTTGGGGGCTACTGTAAATTCCAGCAGCAGCCTCAGTTTGGCTATTAGGCCTGCACCAATTCTAGCAGCGTTCATCTCACACATTGTGGCACAGCATTAAAAGTGCAATTCCAAATGTATGTTTCCTGGTGTGGTACCGCTTTTGAGTTCAATCAAGTACATCTCTTCTAACTGCTGCCCAAATTCTCAAAGCCAGCAGGAACTACAGAGGCTACTTAGGGCAACCCAATGTACTTTTCAGCTGTACCAAAAGAGCAGAAGGCTTCATACTACCAAGGAAGATCCCAGACTGTAAAGTAACATTTATTTTTAGAATTGTACATATTCTATAAATAAACCAATTCCTGGCTCCTCTAAGCCAGGTGGAAGTTAAGCATCTTTACATTTGGAACTACAGCATCTTCGCCTCCTAGAGAATGGAAAAACTGTAATACAATCCTGAATGTATGCAGTCACTGCTGCCGTCCCAGTTAGATAACAGTTCACCTCAATCTAGCCTAAGACCTGTGCTGCTGTCAGAAAAGGATGCCCCTCTGCTTCTGCCCCTGCTCACCCTGGCTACCTCTCTGGGAGCTGTGGTCACACAGCGAGCTGTACAGGATCCAACAATACAGGACTAACACAAGTATCAGGTGGCTCTGTAACCAAAGCATTACATTTTATTTCTGCTAAGCAGCAAGTTCTGCATTGCTAAGTCTGCACAGAGTGTGGATGATGACTGACACTGAAACCTCCGGATCCAAGATAGGTTAAGGTCAGGACCTGTTCCTGTTCCTTGTGTTTCACCTGCTGTCAGCTCACTGCAGGGAGGGTTGTCTAGGATTCCAGGGTATCTTCTTCCAACTGGAATCATAAAACCCAGAACGACACAGAAAAAAGTAAAATGCAGGTAGGAAAAGCTGTCCACATTCATGAACCAAAATAAGGTGCAAAGAAATGAGCAGCAATTCCAGCACAAACCACTAAGAAGTAAGATTCACAAACATTTTGGTCCCTGTTTAGTTCCAGTTTTGGATGATATGTAACTAGACACGGTTACTTATCTACTGTGCTTACATTCATGACTTGAACTTGCCGGTATTTTCAATAAAGGGCTTCTGCCTTATTATATTAAAACTCTCTCTTGATCCCTTTCAGGCTAATTCAATTTTTCAGAGGAGAGGGATGATTTCTTGATCAAATTTGGTCTTCTGTATTTTTCTGTGCATTTTAAAGGGCTGTAACTGTACATCACGGAATACCATGACAATTACAATAGGAAATTCCTGTTGGCACGGACACTAATACAGGAATTCTCAGATAGATCATTGTAGGAACAACATTCAAATTTGTCAAAAGCTTCTTCCAAGCAGGAATGAAAAGCTGACCGCCCCAGACACAATCGCTAAAGCTGGCAGAACAATACGGACAGGAACAGTTCTCTGTTTGGCTGCAGTTTTGTGGTATTACATTACTCCATCATCAGTCACGCTCTGACACTTAAGGGAATACTTCACGAAAGGTCACACATACATACCCTTTAAAAATCAAGCATGCACTAATAATTTTGGGGTGAGATTCAAGTTTCCTAACATTAGCGACCTAAAAATGTAGAAGCCAAAATTTTCTGCACAGAGAAAGGAGGAGGACTGGAGTTTCCACTACGCACTGCTTCTATCTTAATCTGAGGATGAACTGCATCACTCTTTGGAGAGTTCTCTCTGTACTGACAACCATGTTCTTGAAGAGCTGATGGGGACAACATACCTGACTTTTAGCTGGCTTGTGTCAGATGAGTCACACTAATGATACTCTCCTGTTCAAAATCATGCAGCACTAAAACCGGGAACAGGACAGGCAGGAGCATACAGCAATCAGATGGACTCATTTGAAGGAGCTCTTCAGAAGCCCTTAGCACTCCTAAAAGTAGCAAAACTGTAAGTGCTTTTTAAAAAAACCTGAACTATTCTGATTGCACTCTTTCTAACCCCAAACTAATCTGAAAAGAGGGTCATATTTTCTTATTTACTCTTTGTCCAAATGTCTTCCTCTTTCCCCTAGTCAAAATGAAGAAAAAGAATCCTGAAACAGTTTTTATCAAGTTTAATATAATTTAGTGCTATATGCTTGGTTTTTTTTTTTTTCCTATCTGAAGACCTAGTGCTGTAAACACATATGCCCAGGAGCAGCTTTATGCAGAAAAACAGCATCCCCATTTACTGGGATAATACATGTGCCTTTCACTAGATTTTTTTAAGAACTGAAAGAATATATTCTTTCAAGACTGCAAACTAAACTACTAAAAAAGACAGTACAAACTTATCAAGAAGGTTTGTCCACCCCTGCACTGATGACAGGGAACGATCACTACAGTACCAGCAGCTAGCCACTTGAAGCAGGTAAAGAGGTGGGGTTCCTCTTCCCACCTCTGATAGGTGATGGTAATTTTTTTCCCTGGAAATGAAAGGAAATCTTCTCATCCCTTTCTATTTTTCACTCACAAGCACCATTTGGTGGAGGTGAAAGCTTCGGGGTTGAGCTACATGAAATTAATTGTTGCTGTGGATGTCTCAAGTATGACTTCACAAAGGTTCAGAAGAACTGTCTAAGCATCGCAGGATTTGGGGGTTAGATTTCTACCATTTTGTTATCAACCTAAAACCAAAATGCGAGATGAATTCACTCAAAAGTGAGTCCCACACACAGGAGATTGTGTGCAAACCTTTGTGAGGCTAACTCGAGTTCAGCTGTGTAATAAAACCCACCAGCACTTTTTCATGCCACCTGCCATTCATGAAAGTTTTTCACAACCCATTTCAATCAACAAATCTGTACAATAAACACTGAAGCTTACCATGAGCTCACAGACCCTCCCTCCCACAATAAATGGGTCATATGCACTGCAGTTGAGGGCTGCTTTTTTTGTAAAAGCTACACAAAATTGTGCTTTAAAAGAAAATGACAAAACGATTAACTAAACCAACACATAGAAGCTCCTAAAAAGCTGTATGAAAACTGAGCTGCCAAAATTTTCTGCATCACACAACGCTCACACGAAGTCCCATTGTTCTGTGTGTTGGTTGGAGGTGTAGTAGTACAGCATGGTGGTGTCAGCTGTCATGGTAGGAACCATTCATGTCAGACACTACAGAAAATTTGATGACATGACAGTACCTTCACAGCCCTCTGGTAGGTAAGGAAAATCTAAAAGGATCTTCCCAACCTTTCACAGTAAACGCAATTGGATAATCTAAAGCACCTGCAAGCAGGAGACGAGTCCATGATACATATTTCCAATCATCCAGATAATACTGTTATTAAAACAGGTAAGTCAGCTCTCAACTTTCCTATCCATTTTGGGCATTGCTAAGGACCTTTCCACTTTGGTATTTAGCCACCAACAGATTTAGTTGATCCAAACACCATATTTCTTTCTCCCCTCTCCCCACAGCTGTTTGCAAGATGTTCAAGCCCTTCAAAAGGGCTGAATTACCATTTCCTTTAAGAGCTGTCTGGTTCCTATTCTTTCCTAGAAGCTGAGTGGAGCTAGCAGTACAGAGACATCCTGCTCTTCCGCATGGCTTCACTGATTAAGTACGCTGGGCTCAGTTCTGGCTCCTCGGTCATGATGGAAATGTTCTGCCACTCCCCCAGCTGGTTTGACTTTTTAATGGTGTCCACCACACACAGGGCATACAGACAGTCGTCAAAAGTGGCAGCCATTGTGAGAGGCCTCCCGTCCCAGGTCCTCCTGTCGTCCTGGTCCTCAAAGGCCTGCCGGACAGCTTGGACCATCTTAATGGTGCCTCGGAGGTACGGGGAAGGGATGTCACTGAAGGCCTTCTCCGGAAGCAAGGAGTTGCTGACCGGTGTGGAGTCCTTCAGCAGGAGCTCCCGCTGAGGAGAGTTGTTGCTCTGTCCATAGAGATCAGTGCCGATGACAATCAGCCGTCCCGCCGAGCCCACCACGATAATGTCTTGTTTGAACTCCCCTGGAACGTTGAAGTTGAGCGTCACCGTGCAGCACACGCCACCTTCCAGAACCATCTGAAACGTACAGAAGTCATCACTGGTGATCTGCCGTATCCCCTTGATGTGGTCCGTCTGCTTCACAAAGGTCTTGAGCAAGCCGTGCACCTTCACAGCCTTCTGGCTGGTGAGGAATGTCAGCAGATCAATGATGTAGGTGCCAACCGAGTGCAAACCTCCGCCCCCCATCAGGTCGTCACAGCTCCAGTTGTACTTCTTTCCCAGCAGGCTTCCGCTGTGAACCTGCACCTCGCACACCAGCAGCTCCCCCACATAACCCTCCTGGATCAGCTGCTTCATCTTCACAAAGGCGGGCAGGAAGCGCAGTACGTTCCCCATGATGCTCATGAGTTTTGGGTAGTAATGAGCTGCAGTCATCATCCTGAAGGCATCCAGCGGAGTCGCTGTTCGGTCACAGATGACATTTTTTCCAATGCCTGAAAAACATTCACAAAATAAATCAACAAAAATATACTGATGAGTAAACTCATCACCTCAAACTAAGCCATGGAGAAAGACCCCTGAAAGAAAATATTTTGATATTGTGTTAAAGACACAAAGATCCCCTCTGGCATTCACGTAATTCTTAAGCACCATGATGAAAATGTACCCTTTTTGTTCTTAAAATGCAATCATGTCTCTAAGTAGTACAACGACAGTCTGGATAGATAAGACAGTTTGGATAGATAAGAAAGTAAGCTAAGGTAAAGTGGACTACTACCCCACATTTGCTACCTTCTGGGAACAGACGTAAAACCAACCCCCTCAGCTCTGCCATCTCACTCGCATCTCTTCTGTGATGCCCTGCCTGTGTGTGGGCTTCCAGGAGCTGAAGCTGAGCTTCAGATTCAAATCCCTACAGCACATGAGTCACACAGCCTCATGTCCACAGTGACTTGAAGTAAGTGCACTGGCAGACCTGGGCTTGTCTTCTCAATGGCCTTGTTCCTTCATCCTTCCCCTTCTGACTGTTCAAGGTGCCTTCACCAGGGACACGGAAAGTACTGGGCTTGTTGCATAATTTAGAATGCAGGAGTTGCTTCTCACAGAACACCACGCTAATCTGAAAAAGACAGGCATTTTTTTGACGGAACTCTTGAGAGATGTCAACAACACAACCACAGTGCCAAGGGAGAGCCACAATTGCTCTAAAACAGGTCAAACGTAACTGTGACAATCTGTTCCCTCCCAAAATTGCCCATATGTGCACAGCTTACTGAAGCTTGCACAATGATCCTGTTTTATCTGGCCATCAAGGTATGCAGCTGAATGCAGCGCAAGCTGAGACGCCTAAATAATGGTTTTCATATTGATTTTTCCTTGTCAAATACTTTCACTCAGTATCCATACACACAAATGGTGACAGATGAACAAAGTAACAGGCAGAAGCCTACAGCAAAAACTCATCTGCAGAGAGCAAGTGTGAAGTGTGACCACGGGTAGATTACTTCCCACCTTCCCACGTTCAGCATGAGATGACTGGAGGCATATGTCACAGCAGAAAGGAGTAGTACATTTACATAAGGCCTGCACCTAAGCTTTTGACATGGGATAAAAGAAAAAGAAAATTCTTTAGGGCTCCAGTTTCCTTTATAGTCACAAATTTGGATTTTTTTTATGTTCAATGAGCAGTATTAGGTGAGCTATATATAAAAACACCCTATAGCACTAAATATGAACTTTGTCTTGGGAACCCAGGGCTATAGCTGGGTCTGGCATTTAGAAGAGCTGAGTTTGGTCCTGTCTGCTGGAGTCCAGATGAATAAATCCAGTAAATCACTCCATCTCTTTGTGCTTTTCCCTTAAGACAGGAGAGGAATTCCTTTTTCTTTAGGGAGATGTTGTGAGGATAAAATTTCACATGTTTTGGAGCTGTTTGGATGAAGTCATAAATACAGACAGATGGCAAGGATCTGCCTGAGCCCGCTTACATGAATATTTAACAGTCTGACTGCAAGAAGAAGGGGGTCACAGTCCAAACATGCAATAACCAGCTTATCCACACTGCCTATTCCCAGTCTTTGTCGGCTGCTATTTGAGTAGCTGAAACTGGAGGGAGGGCTGTCACCACGGAGGTGGCAGTCACATCTAGTAACAGCCAAAAAGGGAAAGATTCCTTCAACTTGACCTATTTACCTACTACACAGTCAGGTAAGCACAGAGGGACTCATTTTCCTCTCATGCTAGCTAGGAATCCTCTATTCAATGGCCACAGACTTCCTTTCTCACCTCTCTCTCATCTTTACAGACTACAACTGGTGAATTAGTTGCCATTTTCAACTTCATAACATTCCTTTTCCTGCTTCTGAATAATATTTTTCTGCACGTGTTTCCGCATTCATCCACCTGCCCTATATTCCTCGAACTAGTAGATCCAGCTGTGCCACAATGCTGATAACTAATATAACATCCCACTTTGAGCCACAGACTCTTTGCAGAGAGATCATAGTCTGGCAAACTGATTACAAAATAAGAGAAGCCAGTCAAAACTTGCCTACAGTGGAATCTTCCTGAAAAAGCCATTTCTCCCCAAAGAACCCACTGATACTACCTCATGGCTTGACCTCTTCTCCACTATTTGACACGTGTGACTTTCTGCTCCAGTTCAGCTTGTGTCTTCCTGCCTCTCAGGTGTCTGTCTCATCTCATCCGGGGTTTGTGCAGGGACTCACCTCTCAAGACATGCAGCTCTACATGTGCATGTGAGGAAAAGGGTTTGCTTTCATTAGGCACTGGAGCCTGGGGACAAACTTCTAGCTGTGTGCTCAGTGGCCAGGCTCAGTGGGGGCTCAGTCATGACTGAATGGGGACAGGAAACAGGGCTGTCCTTATCTACGTACCAAGTGATGATAATAAATAAAGAAAAACTTAAGAGTTTTCACATTCCTTATATTGAAGAAAAATTGCTATTCAGATCATAAGTAAGGCACACATGCAGCAAAAAGGGAAAGCCCTCAATATTTGTATGGAGACAGGAAAAATGTGGACTCTTACATTTACTCCTTCTACCATTTCAACCTTTTTGGAAAGCTTGAAGCCTTTTAATTACAGCAAATCCGAAATGCAAATGTTCCTAGAGCCTGTGCATATGCTGATAATACATGCTGTGCTCTCATCCCTGTCAGGGATTTAAGCAGATTTCTGGTTGGCGCTCAGAAAGCTTTTGTACTCCATTAAGGCTCGTCCAAGTTCTTCCAGCGTGACACCGCTCAGCACTTGAGCCTGTGCACACTATGTGTCTTTGTCTTCTCTCTAGCTGCAAATCTGCAAGCAGCCACCTTAACTATCTTGAAACAGGGAGAGAACATAAAAGGTTTGCTTAATTCAATTTACAGGAATACTCTGGTGTGTTTACGCAGCTAGAATAAGAAGCTGGAGGATCAAAACACTGCCATTTTCTGCTCTTCTCCCTTTGTTTCCCTTACAAAGGAGAAGGAAAAAGTGCACCTTCCCTTTCAGGCATTCTATAAAGCAGAAACATGCACACAGAGGGCAGTGTGGAAGGAAGGCCATCCTTCTCAACACTGACAGTCCTGTGCTTCTGCCTGCAGACTCCAAAGGAGCACTTTTGGGGAACTGACCTGTACACAATATCCACTCCCATTCTCCGTGTGTAGGCTCTGCAAACGTGGTTTGTCATTTCACACATCCTTGAAAATCACACCATGTACACTGCTAGCTACATGCCTTCGGCCCACTCCATCCCACGGTATTCCAGACACAGGTGGTCAGACCTGCAAAGATTCTGCACGAGCAGCCACTGTCCTGTGCTGACAATGAGTCAGTGTGCCCACAGTGGAGGGGCCGTGAGGTGGGAACTAGGTTATACCCAATAGTTCTGCTTCCCCAAGCCACACCAGCAGGAAATAACAATGGTGGAGATGGAAGGAGTCCATCCATTAGACACACCAAATCCCTAGGCCAATCACTGAAGTATAATGTGCTCCCACTGTCCTCAAAACCGTGTAAGGACGTGAGTGTAAGCAAAGTGACACAAGAGAATTTGACTTACAGGTTTGTTTGCTCAAGAGCAGAAGATGACAACATCTGATGACTGCTTGGTTCCTCTTGAAAATGAACATTATGAAACTACTACTAACATTAGCATATTCTCAGTGTTTTACAAGGAAATATAAGGGCTGAATGGCCCTGCTGGGACTGTTATGAATCTTCCAAGTAAAACCTCAAAAGCTTAAGATACCAATCTGTGCTTATTTTAAGAAGGTTATTTAAGAGATCTCTGAAGGAGTGTGTGTCCAAATAGATCTCTAGAAACAGCTGAGGAAACAGAAGAAAATTGTTTATGCTATCATTCTTTTGAGTGGAGATTTCTCAAGCACCTTATGCAGAAAAGTCAAATTTTACCAGTATGTTTACTAACGGTTTGTCAATCACCTCACAGTAAGTTCTGTCTGGATGTCAGTGATATTTACTAACTTCTGCCTTTGCTTTAGAAATTCTTGGTGATACGGAGATCATTTTGAAAGCCAAACAGCCCACAAATGACAGTAAAATCCCAGAATCACAGAACATCCTGAACTGGAAGGGACCCACAAGGATCATCCAGTCCAACCCCTGGCTCCACACAAGATCACCCAAAATTCAAACTTGATGTGAGAGCAGTGTCCAAACACTCCCTGAACTCCAGCAGTTTGCAGCCCTGACCACTGCCCTGGGCAGCCTGTTCCAGGGCCCTGTCACTGTCTGGTGAAGAACCTTTCCCTACCCCTCAATCTGACCTTCCCCTGCTGCAGCCCCATGCCATTCCCTGGGGTTCTGTTGCTGACACCAGAGAGAGAGACTGTATCTACTTCTCCCTAAGAGAAAAACAGATACAGTCCAGGTCAGCAGCATTTAATTTTTATTTTATTTTTTTTTCTGTGTAGAGTAATAATAGTGAGGAGGTGGAGTAAGAAATCCAGATTTTGAAATGGCTGAGGTCTGCAGTTCTTCATTTACAAAAGGCCCTAACTCCTCAGTTACCAGTGTCCCTGCAATGCCCCCGAGCTGCACAACCCACAGCTGAGCAGAGTTCCTGGGCCAGGCCTCAGGAACCGTAAGAGGCACAGCCTTCATCAGCTCTGGACAATGCCATGTCAGCTTGTTCCCATCTGCTCCGATTGCTTTAAATACAGACAAACACATTTTCACAGTAAAATAATAAGTAAAGAAGAGTATCCATCACTGAACTGTGGCAAGACTACTTCTCTATCTGTTCAACTTAGGACAGGATGCCTCAGTACAGTTTTTTCTCCTCCTATTCAGAAGAAAATAAAAAAGGTGTCTGGGCACATAACCAAAACCCTCACTGACACTGACGAAAGGTTTGTTAGTTAGCAGTCACTACTACTGGATAGGGCTGAAAGGGAAAGTAAGGCTTCGGTGGCCTAAGCTAAGTCGGTCAGCAGAAAAACACACTTCTAAAGGTTACGGAGAG